AGAGTTATGTAGATTTAATATTTAGAGATTGTGAATAAGTAGAGTAAATTTATTTTAGCAGATTCGGTTAAAAGATTATTAGGGAGTATTTAAATATACTCGAAGGTGAAGATTTAGTTCAACTGCTTAAAGTAATCAACACAAAGGTAAAATATTTTAATATAGCTTTTTAAAATTTATGTATGGCGTATGAATAATTAAATAAATAAATATTAGTTATTAGATCCATTTGAATTTAGTGAACAAAAAATTGATTTTCTGAGCAATAATTTGCTAAGCAAAAAATACCTTTGTGGCGAGCAATATGGATGTCTAATTGTAAATTACATAGTAGAGCAGTATTCCTAGAATCAATTCAAAGAAAGCACTCAATTGGTATTTCTTTTTATCATTTTAAATAATTTTACTTTCAAAAAGTATATTCTTGTTTATTTTTTAAGCTGCAACCTTTCAATTTAAATCAAACAATAATTAGAATTTGCAAATTAGTTCTAATTATTAATTGCAAAATATCTAAAATGGTTTGTTTTTTAGTAAGTATTTGTGCATAAAAATATTTACGAAACTGTTTTATTTTTTAAATTTAGATTAAACAAGAAATTATTTTATAAAAGATTCACCAAATAATAATGAGGATAGTAAAAAAAGCTCATCAATTGTCGTAGCATTATTACTCAAACTATGTGATACAGCTTATTTTGGAAAAATTACCCAATGATTGCGAAATAAATTAATAGTTGAATAGAGCACTTCTTCCTTACTTCATTGATTTAAGCACTAACAAATTTGGAAGGTAAAGAATACATTATTAATTAAATATTTAATTATAAAGAGGATTTAAATGGTATATATTTTAAAAATAAATAATAGCAATGTGGTTGAAAAGGCTATTAGATTTGGTGATGATTATTTTAGAGAAGAGATTTGGAAGATTATCAGTTACTAAAGTGAAGATGGCTAATTTATGTAATTCATACTTTATTTAAAAATATTTTTGTTTGTTTGAAGTAATTAAATTATAAAAATAGTAACTTAGAGATACTAGTTAATGATCAATTTGCAAATTATGTGATTTAAAGATATTACGAGCACTGTAATTCATATACTATAAAATAATAATTTGAGGAAATACTTCACATACTTAACAATTAAAGTAGGCTTCAGCAATACGGTAATAATTAAAAAAGAAATTTTATTACAATTTTAAATTGTATTTAAATTAAAATTGACTGTAATAAACATTTAAATATACAGGTGCATCATAAAATAATATTTATTTTATTAAATTATTTAAAAATACATTAAGTCGAATTGCTCAACCTTAAAATTATTCACTAGTTTTGCACTTATTTTATTATTGCATCGCTTTTATAGTTCTAATTCCCTTCTTTACATTATACTTTCTTTAGCAAACTTTAGAGTGGGGAATTTACACATTTTAATATTTCTTAGCAGCAGCAGATCAGTCTTTGTTGAAATTTTATAAATTTGTTAAATTCTATTGAAAGCAATTACTAAAAATACAAAAAATACAAAAATTTTGCTTACCCTATCTTTTATTTAATAACAAATAAATATTATTTATTTTTATGTTTAATTTTTTTTTTTTTGAGGAGTTTACACTTTAAAAAAATTTATTTATATATTTATTTATTATAAGAAGCAATTTACTTTAGATTTGTAAACTTATTTTATGATTAATTTGTAAATTTTTTTAATAGGCTAACATGTAAGAATGTAAATATTTGATAAAAACAAACCAGAATCAAAAGTCCATCACCTTTAGCAGAAAGATTATAATAGTTCTAACATTAATAGAAGTTACTATTCATAAAATACTAAGATTGGTAATACCAGTAGCTTAAATAATAATTTCAGTAACACAATTTCTCAAAAAAGATACAATTATTCCAGAAATGGAAGCATAGTAAGTAATGAGAGTGGTGGCTTAGAGTCAGTGAGCAGTAGAAAAAGCAGCTCTAATATTCCTACTCATCTGATAGATCAGTCCAATCAAAGCAATTTGGTATAAACTATACCATCTTAGCAGTCTGCTTAATAATTTATGCCACCTAATGATTAAAATATAATAGGGTATGGGAATAATAACTATTAAAAAAATTACAGCTTAGGTGTCAATCCTCCTAAAAACCAATTTAATAATCAATATTTTAACTAAAATGGAGGTATCCATCCATTTAGCTATAGCTAAAATGTAAATTAAAAAGCTTAGCACTTTAGCAATACTTTTCAGCAAACTCAATTCTAATAAAGTAATGCTTGCACTTCATATCCTTTAGAAAATCCGTACTAAAAAACTCAAAATCAGAATTAACTCTTCAATTAAAGTCACCCAAATTATTTCAATAGCCAAAAGAATCAGTTTAAACCAAAGTTAACTATGTAAGGAGGCAGTTACAAAGGAGTCGGACAGAAGATCATTACAAATAATTTCTAATAAATGAACGAAGGGTATCAAGTAAATTATAGTAATTATCAGAATATCTAAAATATTAATAATGTCTAAGGCAGAGATTAGAAATTATCAGCTGAAAATAATAGAAAAATGCTAAATTAAAATTATGGCAATACAAACTAATTAGATTTAAAATTATCTATCGACGACTAAATAAACAAATCTGAAGGCTAGCAGAAATATTTTTAAGAGAACCTTAATTAAGATCAAGAGAGTTATCAGTGAATTTGACCAATAAAAAAACATAAAAATAGCATCATGCATAATGAAAAACAAACAAACAAATTAGTTAAATTCATAGATACGAAAAGTGAAATGAATTTTTGTATTGATTCATTATAAAAAAATATAGATTTTTTTTTGTTTAATCTATTAAAAAATAATAGATAGATAGACTGATTGATCTATAATTCATTATCGTTTTAATTAGTGATATTTCAATTGTTAATATTAATAAGAATGTATTTAACATTTAATTCAATAAGTAAATAAATAAAATATATGAATTTATATAAATTTAAACGTTACTATTTTTTATTATTATTTTATCTCCTTTATTTTTGATTACTTAATAATAAATTTATCCTTCTCTCTCTTTTTTTTCATTTTGATTGTTTTTTGAATAAATTATTCAAATTGCTAATTTACTCTGAAATTGATTTGAATTAATCCCATTAATTATTCACTCTATTTCTATTCTTATTTGCTCGTATCTTTGAACGAATTTAAAAGATATTTAAAATTTAAATACATTTAATCTAGTATGATTTTAGATTTACGTAGAAACAGAGGCTTTTGCAGTAAAAAATGTTTTATTATCAATTGAGTAACTCAGTCAAGGAATGCTCGTTCGGATGAGATATAGTGATTAATTGGAGTAAGGAGAATAATTAATTATATTCCCATTAAAATTTTCAAAGGAATAGGTAAAAGAATCTTTTATTCTACAAGGTTTAATTATCAAAATATTAGTATAGAAGGAATTAAATAAGATTGCGCAACTGACTCCTCTCTAATTAAATTATTAATTTTGAAAGATATATGCAGTTTATAATTTGAGTAAATTAAATTTGGCTAGATTCTTGAAGCGGACGACCTTTTTTTGCTATTTAAGCATAAATATAAAAGAAAGAGCTTTTGTTGAAATAGAAAAACCTATTTTTAACTGCAAGGGCGAAAAAATAAAAAGAATAAAATAAAAATTTAATAATCAGTTAAAAAGGATTTAGAAAGAATTAATAAGGGAATTTTATAATAATTCGTCTAAATTCTTTGATTTTTCAAAATTTGCTTCTTACAATATTTTCCCAGTAAAGAAGAATATTTATTTCTAATATTTAGATGACTTGTTTAAAAGTGAATAGATAAAAAGTCATTCTTATATTCCCAGCTTACCAGATTTAGATTATTTAATGACATGTTTATTAATCTTTGATTTATTGTAAATTAACTGATTCATCATAATTAGCCTCACTTAAGCTCAAATTTTGGTCATGTTAATTCAGTAATAAAAATGAAGAGGAAAGGAAAAGTACTGGATGGCTGGAGCGGTCTGCATATACTTAGTTAAAAAAATATAGTTGTAATCAGAATTTATGCTTAAAAAGCAAATATCAAAATACTTATTTAGTTTCACTTGATTAGAGAAGATAGCCTAAAACAAATTAGTAAAATAATGAATAAGAGTTCAATTGATTTTGGATTATTATATGTAATGAAAAGCAATTATAAATTGTTACAATTTTACTAGGTGTAAATAAATATCTTTAAAATTGATTTATTTATTTCGAGCATTCTAATTATGAGAGCCTATCTATTTAGTTACTTAGTAGAATAATACAAACTCTCAAAATTAATTAAAAGTTTTGATTAACTAATTGATTTGCTTGCTCGACAAGTACATTTATACAAATCTACAAAAGACATTTATTTTTAATGATTTATGTGAAGAGCTCTATTTGCATACATTTAATATAGATTTACTTAACTAGTTAGGCATAGAAAATTAAGATGAGCCCCTTTTTTTAACTTAAGTGATTTACAAAATAATTAATTTAGCATATCTATCAGGCTGTATTTGATTTGGAGGTAATAAATTTATTGAAAAGTACTTCTTTTTTAATTAAAAAGGTGAGATTGCATTCTAATTTCTATGAATATACATATAAATACATGCATTATTTATTTAATAATATTAAATGAATTTATTTGAAAATTTATCTGCCAGTCTATATTTATCAAATGCAAATTAGTAATTATTTAATAGCCAAAGATTTGCTATTTTTAAAATAATTATAGCAGACTAAAACTACCTGGATCAAAACAAAATTAGAAGGAATGTTTTAAAACCTATTAATTCGAGTATAGAGCGATAGGATGTGAATATTTGTGAAGTCGTATTGCCTTTTTTTGGAGTTATACAAGAGTATCAAAGCATTCTAACTATTTGAAAAATTGAAAAATATATCTTTTAGTCTAGTTTATTAATAAATTAAATCCTTAAAATTAGAATAGTAGGTATGCATGTAGAAGTTCATTAAAATAGATGATTGTGGAGGACTAATATGCAAAAATTAATCATTTAATTATTACTTAAATGTCTTCTTTAGGTTTTGTCTAATTCTTAAGATATCAGAAAACGTAATGTGATTATTCCAGCACCTTAATACGCAAAAAATATTAAAGCCTTGAAGAAGTAGCAATAATTTTGAATCAATATGAGTACTTAAATTCTAAATGAAAGAAAGCGAAATCAGTGTAATATGTAGAAAAAAAACAACGCCGAGATTGTAGACTCAGAATTGATTATAATGATTATAATTCCTATTTCTAATTTTTCTTAGAATTCAACGGAGAGAACTTTTACGATTTTAAGATCAATACGCAATCATATTGTAATTAATTGAAAACCATGATGGCAAATCAGCTTTTATTAGCTTTGAATAATAAGAAATTTGGCTGAAGCGAGTAAATCAATAAATTAATAAATAAAGAAAGAATTAAGTAAATTAATTAAATAATAATAATAAATACCTCCCCCCTTCAAACAAACAATCAAACAACCAAAAAAAATTTTTTTTGATTTACATTAATTATGAAGGCAAGCTAATTAAAAGTGCATGCAATCAACATAAAGGTCATTTTTTATAATAAATTAATTAACAATAAATACAATCAAAAAAAATAAAAAAGAGTAAATATCGAAAATTAACAATCACAAAAATAAATCCGATATTAATCAAAATTTGATTTTAATCAATACTTGAAATTAAAGCAAATAATCTCCTTTATTATTTGAATACAAACAAAAAACAAACTGCAATTTACTTTTGCTAAAACACATAAGATACTCAGTAAAAAATCAAATATTTTCAAACAAACTTACCGAAATGGCAAAATCAAGCTACTTTGAAACAATTTAAAACGTTTTGGGTGAATACGGCGTTCAGAGGAACGAATAGGTTTTGAGCTAACTATTCAAAGTTATTTTTGGATATTCCAATACTGTCTTAGAAATCTTCAAATAAATATTCAATCACGTCTTCCTCGTATACAACGCTTCTTACAATATTACAAACTAACACTAATAAGTAAACATTTACATTTATTCTTATTAAAAAATCATTTTAGCTTTCATTTCAAATTTAAATAAATTTTTAGTGCATTTCTTAGCTAAGATTTGTGTCTATAAATTTATTTATTTATTTATTATCATTCATTGAAAATTAACTTATTCTAACTATTTTTTTTTAAATCAAAAATAGATTGAAAAGATCATAAAAGACCTCCAAGAAAAATTAATTGTAATATTTTCTTTCTTCTTACAAATGCACTATTTCTATTTGTTTCTTTTTTGCATTGCGCTTATTGGTTGACTTAAATGTTTGTTTAGCAACTTAGAATATTTAAGCTAAGTTGCTAGTAAATATATAGCTGATAAATACTAAAATTTATAAATTATAACCTTGTTAGAATAGAAAATATATAAATTATCAAAAGAATTAGTATAAAGCAGCTACTATATTAAATGTATAATATATTCTTACTAAGCGCAATACGAAAAAGAGATGTTTTTATTATTGATGCATTTTTAATTAATTAATTAGTAACATAAACTAAATCTTCTACTTTAATAAATAGGTAAATGAAAACATAGTGAAAAGAAGTACAATTAACATCATTTCAGTTAAATTCAATCTTTCAAGGGAAGTTAGTAAAGTCCTCTGCGAAAAGCTATTCGTTATTAGTCAAGATATCATATCTTCTAGAATAATTAACTACCTTATTGATAAGAAATCCGAATACCTCCTCAACAAGCTAAGAAAAGATCTTGTTAGATCTGAAAACTACTTGCTCTTCTAAATTGCCTCTCACTTCTGAACAATTTAATGAAAAGTCTAGTTAAATTAGCATATACTAATCAGCATGAAACAAAAAAGTAGGGAAACCAGTTTTCACTTTAGAATAAAAATTGATTGATCGATAGATCGATTTGTTTATTTTTCAAACCCGATGGTTGCGTAATTTGTTAATATATCTCCTTTCAGATGTCTTTTTCTATCAATCTAAATGGTTAGTTACTTAATTAGGATATGTAAGAGCAAACAGATAATTGCTTACAGAGACAATATTTTTAATTAGGTGATTAAAAAGGGGATCAATAGCTTCAACACTTTTTAGATATTTTCAAAATAATCATACATACATCATTTAAATCTTCGCAAATTTCAGAACCGATTTTAGATAATTCTGACACACTTTTTTGGGGATCAAAGACCACTAGTGATTTGCTATATAAAATCAATAATTTAAAATCTAAAAAGAGATAATACGCAATTATTACTTGATAAATAAATAAATCGCACTCATAGGCTATCAATATAATAATAGATTTTACATATACCACACATATAAACATCTCATATTTATTCATTCATATTAATTTACTATCTGAACCTATATCAAAAGCAACTACTCAAAAAAACATTAAAACAACAAATTAATTATCATAACCATGCATTCAACTCTATATAATACAAAATAATTAACAAAAACAACAACAAAAAACCAATCTCATACTTTATTGGAAATCACAAGCATAGAAACAAACATACAAAATATATATGCGGTGACCCAATAAAATAATTAACTAACTCACTAACTAACTAATTAACTAATTATAAATAAATTAATATATATCAATGCAACACTCATTTCTATAGTTAAAGAATCTCAAAATATAAAAATAAATAACAACTAATTTAATAAAATAACATTAATTAATATAATATAGTAGAAATTTTAATATAAAACCTATTTATTATGCATCAATCATAAATTATTTCATTACACACTTGTCTCTCTATTTATAGTTTCTGTTTAACGTTACTACCTCTAAATAAATTTACTATCTTAAAAAAAAACTCTTTTTGAATTTTATTTATTTAAACAATATTTCAATTTATGTGATAAAAAGATACTTTTTTAGCATAGCATTTTAAATTTTATTGGCTTTCAAATTCATTTAAAACTTTTAATTTTATTTATTTATTTATTTTCTTCTAGCTAACTATTTATCAAAAAATCTTACGCCTGATTGAATTATCACTTATTTTTTTTTAAATTTATGTTTATCATTCAATCTAAATCGATTATAGTATTTTATAATTCATGCTTTTAATCCTAAAAACATCATTTTTGACACAATTTCTATTAACATTTTGGTGGAAAAAAATAATTACTTAAATAAATTTCCTCACAATAGGATTTTTTTTGAAAATTAATGTTCCATCAAAGCAAAAATAAACAAACCTTGTATTTTTAAATAAATTTGGATGTGAGTTGGATTATTCAAAAAACAGCTCTTCTAATTTTTGGGTTAAAAAGCTGTACTAAATTTGTATGTGAAAATTTCGTGGATTTTTCTTTTAAAAAATTATGTTTGTTAGATTATAACTTTGAAAAACAGTGACGCCAACTCTATTTAGAATACGTCTGATTATATTTTAAATAATTTCAATGCCTTTTACTTGAATAAAAAATTAGCAAATACAACAGAAATAAAAAATTCTTTGCTTCTAATCAGCTTTAAGAATCTTTTTAGATCAAGCATGTCTATGTCTTCTTGGACAAAATGATAGAAATAACGATCTTATTTAAAAAGATAAAATTATAATTCAGTCAAATCACACCGGAATCTTTAGTTCACTATTTTAATAAACTCCGAAAGAAAAACTCTAAATTTAGTATAAGAAGATGTAATTTAACATATAATTTTTATAATAAAGTTTAATTATAAATAAAAGACTTCTACGATTATAAAGGTAGTCTCTATTTACTTTTACTTCCACCCTATTTTTGTAAAATTTTCTTAAGTAACATACAAGTAGAAAAATCAAATACACTTTTTTTTCTATTTAGGTTTTTAAAGTAAAATTAATTCTTAAATTTATTTGATTAATATTTTTCATTTTCCAGCCACTATAAACCAACTAATATCCTCTTAAAAATATTCTAGTAAAGCTTTATTTATTGTAATAAATTATTTTATATAAAATTCCAGTAAAAATTTGTTCAAATATTAAATGCAAAGCGTTTTAGCAAAAATAGCTAAAAGCCTCACTTTAACTAAAGGCAATAAAAGCAAAACATTTGTGTTTAAAACTTAAATTTTATTTGTTACTCTTCAAAACTATATTAAGAAATTATAAAATATCTTTTATTTGGCTGATAATTGGTTCATTAAAATGTTTGTGTTACAGTACTTTCATTATTAATATTTTTATAATGTATTTATTTGATCATAAATTTGAATTAAATCAAAAATTAATACAGTTTAGAAATGTAATTATTCATTTATAAGATTATCAGATAAATAAATGAAGTATACTCAAATTATTATAAACTGTATTATCAAACAATTTGAAATTTTTTTTCTATTTAAAGTACAAAAGTGATGTATTAAATTTCATCTAATTATTTTACCTTTTTGATTAATTCTTATTTAAATCCTTAATTTCAAATAAAAATATAAAAACTTTTAAACTAAATCAACAATTAAGTATTTAGTTTATTTCAAATATAATTGCAATCAAATTTACCAGTTTGGGATTTAATAAATTATTTTTTAAATTTAATCATGTACGACCATAACTAAATAAAGCATTTTTTCCTTGTAATTAAACACTTCCAATCCTAATCCTTTTAAAAACTAAAAAAGTTCTCATTTAAGCTAAAAGTTTTAGTTTACTGCATAAGAATTCAGAGTAACTGCAAAATTTTTAATAAAATATCGGCAAATAAGTTTTCAAAAATAATTAAACTTGCTAGAATACAAAGATACAACTTAAATATATGCATATTTATAATAAGAATTGCTTATTTCATTGTAATTATTTAACAGTGCTGGTATTATCATTCATCTGAGTTTTAAATAAACTGATAGAAAAAAATTTTAATAAATTAAAAACAGTCATTTCTTTTTTTATTGTTTAAAAGTAGTTCACAAATTTTTAAAAAGTATTTTATTTAAATCATTACATTTTAATAATTTGAATTATATATTTATTTATATTATTGTATAATTCATTGATTATACTATTTATTTATTATATCTATTTACCTAAAATCATTTCTCAAAAACTTAGTTAATTAATTTTCTTTTCAATGGTTTATATTATTTATTGATTTATTAATGTTGCATTAAAAATCAATTATATCCTTTCTTATAAAAATGTTTGAAATTCATCTAATTAAAAATATTTAAATAGAAATTAAACAATATTTTCAAAAGATGATGTTTTTTTTTTTCAAAAATTAATTGAGGGATGTTTTATAAATAATTTAATTAATTTAAAATTTACTTCTTTGAAAAAATAATTAAAGCTTCATTTTAGTATTTTGTTTAGTTTAATAATATACTTAAAATCATTTACTACAATTATTTTTGGATAAATAAGCAATAAAATTCAAAGAAGACATTAAATTTCATAACATAAATTCTTATGAATCTTAAATTAGTTATTTTATTGATAAATTTATAAATAAATATAAATATCAATTACTCTAATAACTGTTATCGAATTCAAACTTTATTTAGATATTTTTTTTCATTTCAATAGTTTATTTAAAAATTTAAAGCCAAATAAAATATAAAAATGCTTCAAAAGAATTCATCATTTTTTAAATAACAAAATAGATAAGCTACATTTATTTTTTTTTTCTTCAGTCAAATACATTTTTTGGTTTTATTTTTATTGTTACTTTAGAAATAACTCTATATTTTCATTAATTTTGTTTTTTGATAAACACTTTTTTCTCTTTTAATTTAATTTTACCTTAATTTAAATATTTCTAAAATTTTAATTTTATGAGAATTTACTTATTTTCTTTTTTATGAGATTAAAGTTATCAAATTTTTACTTATTTTGAAAAAACTATTATCCTAATAATTAAAAACTTTTATTTATCAATATAAAGAAAATAGGAATTAGGTAAATGGCAAGTTTATAAATTTATACTTTTATTTTTTTAAATTTTTCAATATTATATTTAAAATTACTATATTTAGAGATAATTAAATATTAAATCTTTTGATGAGAAATTTATTACTTTTATTTAGTTATTTTCTATTTAATTTATTAAAAACACTAAAAAATTAATTTAATAAAATGCATATCATTTCAACATATTAAAACTTTATTTAGACTATCTATGTATTCAATATATAAAATATAACTTATATTATTTTAATATATATAATAATTTAATAATTTATCTTGCTTGATTTATACAAGATACAAAAAATTTATTTTATTTTTTTAGTTGCTTATTTATTTATAAAAATAAAAGAAATAAACTGCAAAGTAAAGAATCCAATAGTCAAAATTTATTAAATAGAGTTCACCATAATGACCATTTTTCGAACCATTTGTTGGTTCTGATTAAATATTTTCTTGTTTCTTCCCAAATTAAATAAAATATTGTGAATGGGAAGGAAGGTATACCCCATTACCAGAAAGCAAGGGGTCTTCCTCCAAAGACATCTTAAAATCCAGGTACTTCTGAAATAAGAATACATAAGAAAGTTTCAAGAACTAAACCTGATATCATAACTTTGTTAAAGGGAGTAAATACGAAGGAGAGTTTTCTAGATTTAACAGCAAAGATATTAGTCCATTAAAAGAATACAACAGCTATAAACCAAGCAGTTTGACCATATTTCAATGCATCAGTGGTGTAGCATGCATTTAAATCTGTAAGAGGAGATTTATTTAAGTCATCGGTTGTATCGCACATTGACCATGTAATCAAAGCTGTCCATTGATCAGTTTATTCATCGCAATATACAAGCATGGTACGTAAATCTTTTTTGCCTTCATCAAGTTTTACCCAATCTATTTGACTATATGTGTAAGCATTTTTACCAGATGCATCTTCTACATTTAAGTCGTATCTGCATGAATTTTAGCCATCTAAATACATAAAGAATTGATTATAGTATGGATTAATAGCTAAATTTAGATCTGTTGGATTTATAGCTCTTGGGAAGATTGTGTCATGTTCTCTTCTAGAATAAGCTAATGATTTAATTTAGTCACTAAATTGAGAGTTTTATCTAAAGCTCAAATTAGGTTCATATACATAAATAGTAGAAAGTCCGAATAAAGAAAGTATGGGGAATCCAAAGTGGTTCATAGTTGTATAAAATGCAGCGAAACCACTACCGACTGAAATAGCTCCCATCAATACATAGCCATGGAATATAACTTTATTAGAAACTAAATGCTCGAATTTTTTACGAGGTCTACGAGTCATGATATCGATTTCAGCTTCTTCATAACCGAGAGACAAGGAAGGAAGAATATCAGTACCAATATCAATACAAATCATATATATATTTGTTATAGCTAAAGGAATTCTCAAGATAATAAAAGCGACAAAAGGAATAAGTTCAGGGATGTTTGAAGTTAAAATATAAATGATTGTCTTCTTGATGTTATCGAAAATCTTTCTACCTTCTTCAATACCAGTAACAATAGAAGAAAAATCATCATTAAGTAGAATCATATCAGCAGCATCCTTTGTTACATCACTGCCTGATAAATTCATAGAAATACCAATATCAGCTTATTTAATTGCAGGTGAGTCATTTACACCATCTCCAGTTACTGCGCAAATAAATCCTTTTTTTAATAATAAATTTAAATTAGATTACACCTAAATTGCTGATAAAATTAATTAATTAATTTATTTATTGAAAGTGTTTGTCAAAACCTATTTTTATAATTTTTTTGCTATTTTATTTTTTCCTTTCTTTAAATTAATTTTGTGTGTAACTTTGCTTTAAGTTTTTAATAGTTTTTTTATAACAAGACAAGAAATGAATTTAATTTTATTGAACTTTACCTACTGATTAGCATGCTTAAACAATTTAGAGTTTCTAAGCTGGTGTAGTACGAGCAAAGACGCAATAAGGTTTTTATACCCATTGTTAGAGGTAATAGAATTTGTTATCTTCATTACCATCTTCATCAATTTTCCTTTAAATACACTCTACAATTCTATCTCCATGAACAACTATTGCATCAGACAAATCTATTGCTTCATACCAGTCAATACATCTTTCTTCAGCTATTTCATCTACTGTCTTAACTCCTCTTGGAATAATGTTGACCTAACGAGCTATTTCTGTAGCGGTAGGAGGCTAATCTCCTGTTACCATAATAACCTTAACACCTGCAGATCTACATTCTAAAATTGAAGCAGGGACAGTGGGTTTTGGTGGATCTATTAAAGAAACTAATCCTACAAATGTAAAGCCTTCAAGTTAGAAATTAAAGTTTTAAGGATTTGAAAGATTGAATTAAAATCCCTTTGGATAGTCTCTCTTAGGGAATTGGAGCTTGGCAAAACCAAGAACACGTTCTCCACTTTTACCAAACTAGAGATTGACATGCTTAAATTCTTTACTGATTTAGCTATTTATTTGTACACTTCCTTGTGAAGTTTAAAGGTACTTGCAGAAAGTCCAAATTTTTTCAGGAGCACCTTTGATGTATGCACAATATTCTGAGTTTTCATTTTATTCTTCAACAACTGTTAATGCAAACTTACAACTGGAATTGAAAGGCATCTTTGCATCTGCACCATCTTTATTTTTTGGTACAACATATTTCGAACGTGTTTTATCAATACTTTCAATATATTAATAAAATCTGATAAGTCCAGTTTCTGTTGCATCACCAGTAGTTGGACAATCGATCCAATTAATATTAGATTAGTCCTTCACACCTTATGTATCGAATTTTGCTTCACTTGAAATGATAGCTGCTTAATGAAGGGCTCTAAAACAAATTTCACTTTCATTGTACTCTAAAACTTTATTAGAAGCTATTTAAGATTTATTAACTGCTCTAATAGTCTTTCTATCATACCACATATGTTCAACAGTCATCACATTTTAAGTTAATGTTCCTTTAATAAATTTAATTTTTTTAATTTAAAAATATTTCCTCCTTAAATTATTATTTCAGTAAATGATGAATTTTAATGATTGATTGATTAAAAATTTTTCAAATAGATTAAAATTTTTTAAAATTACCTGTTTTGTCAGAGCAAATACAAGAGGTAGATCCTAAAGTCTCTACTGCTTCTAAATTCTTAACTAAGACATTTTTATTGTGGAGACGCTTTGCTGTGATAACTAAAGAAATAGTAACACTACCTAATAAACCTTCAGGGACGTTGGCAACAAGAATACCTATACCAAGTAAGAGACTGTGGAATACTCCTTAATTTGAGACAAATAAGGCTAAAACAAACAAGAGAATGGCCAAAAAGACTGCAATAAATGAAATGTAGAGAACAAATCTATCTAATTCTTGTCTTAAGGGAGTTTTTACTTACTTTTCTATAGATGAAAGATTAGAAATCATACCGAGCATAGTTTGATCACCAATGTTGATGACTACACCTTTACCTTATCCTTCCTTGCATAAAGTACCAAAGAAAGCTAAATTGTTGGTTTCTAAAGGATTCAAGTTTGAACACTCAGTAGTTCTAAGCAAAGGTTCAGTCTCACCTGTGAAGGGAGAGTTATCAACTTTCATTTCGTTACTAGTTAATATACGAATATCAGCTGGAACTTTATCGCCAGACTTTACACGAACAACATCTCCAACAACTAACTTTTCAGCAGAAATCTTAAGTTCTTTTCCATCTCTAATTACAATACAGTCTTAAGGCATCAAGTTTTTGAAAGATTCCATCAAGGCTTCACTTTTGGCATTTTACATAAATGTGATACCTCCTGTCATGAAAATGACAATAACTATAATAATACCTAAGTATAAATTTGCTGGGTCTGACTCATCTAATCCATAAGCCAAGAAACTCAAGAAGGCTCCAATCCAAAGTAGAATAGCAAAGCCATGAAGAATTTCTTTAATAAATTTAATCCATGTTGGAGTTTTTTTAGGAGGAGTTAATTTATTATCACCACAAGCTAAATTTAATTCATGAGCCTGCTATTAGCTAAGACCCATTTCAAAATTTGTTCCAAGTCTATTTTAGAGTTCTTATAAGGAGATAACATGATGATCAGAAAATTGTCCTTCAACTTAAGCGACTACTTTTTCTTCTTAATTTTATTGTTCTATTTTTGGATTATTTTAGGGAGTTTAAGCCTTATTGTCAAAAGAAACATTTTTTGGGAATTTTATTTAAATTTCTTCTACTTCTTCATTAACGTGTCTTACTTTATTGCATGAGTTTTCTAAGCTATGTTTTTTTGCTTTTATATCTTGTACACTGCTTCTGACAACACTAGCTCTTCTATCATTGGCGATGTTGGCTAATTCGATAGATTAACGAATCATCTCAAATTAGCGAACAACAGATTTATTAATGTCACTCGTATTCATCTTACTTATTTCTGCGCTTTATGAATTTTATTAAAAAATTTATTATTAAAAAAACAATATTTGGCAATTGCTTTTAATAATTACAAAGCTATTTATAGAACACTAAAACAAATTTGAGTTCCGTTATAGTAAACTCGTGATTAAATAAATCTGAGTCTATTCTTGTTTAGCTTTAAAAATATTGAATTAGTAAGAAAAGATTTATTTCAACACAAATTTATTTTATATGAAATAGACATTTGAAATACATTCAATTTTTTGGAATAAATAATTCAGGAATTAAAATCTTTCAAAAATAGGCTTCTCGATATGAACGCAGAGATTCCATTAAATTTTAGTTCCATTTCAAAAAATAAATGAATATATTTGTTAGTACTAGATTATTATTAATACAAATTCAAGTAATTAAAAAATTGTATCCTACTATAAAATTTTCTTGTATTTATAATATAATAAACTATAAATAGATAAATATATACACCTTACTTAATCTTCTATTATATAATAAACAAAAAAAATTTGTATTTATCGCCACTACTTTTAATCATAAAAACTTTGAAATAAAATTTTCATATTTTTTAGTCTTTGAGGAAAATTTTAAAGTAGATCCAAAAATAATTAAATGATGCATAAAATATAATTTTGTAATTAAATTATGCGCTTTTGATTAACTAATATAAAGACCTATAATTAGCAAGCTTAACTGCCTTAAAATATACCTAAAAGACATGTCCAAACGAAGTAATAGTAATAGTAAGAATTAGCTTGTAAATTTTAGCAATAATTTTAAAATTAAAAATTATAAAGACATAATTTAAAAATTTGATAACGAAAGAGCCTTTCATTCATATTTATTACATTTATAAAAATTAAGAATAGAGTTTTTTTGAAATTTATAATTATTAAATTTATAATCCAAAATGATAAAACTTTAAATTTGGCAAATATATTTTTTGTCTAAAAATTAAATATAAAAGATAGATAGATAGGTAAATAAAAATCGTATCAAATCAAATAAAACAAATGAGTTTTAGCTTTATCAAAAAATCTTTCTTTATATTTTATTTACTTATTAATTCATTGAATGATTGCTTTAAAATATAAATATCGATTTTTTAAATAAATAAATAAATGATAAAAGATATACTAGTCATTTTACTTTCTTTAGATTTATAGAACTTACTTGTTAAAATCTGATCTTTTCTACTGTATAGTTTCTATTAATGATTCTACTCTTTATTAAAAAAATTAAAAACACTTAAAATCTCCTTTTTGGAGATTGTAAGTATAGTAAATATCCATAAAAATATCTTGTGGTTTATATCTCATTTTCTAATTTGCATAGTCACTTAGCTACTTAAATTTAATCCCAAATATTTCTTTTTTATTTCATTTCATTCTTTAAGATACTCTCCTTCTAGTATTATTTTATATTAGTGATAGTAATTTTTTCATCATCACCAATTAAAAAGGATGATTCCAGATGGTGAATTCTTTAAGTTTAACACTGTAATTTAGTATTAACTTATTTTTATAGCAAAGACATAGGATTAAGATCTTCCTTGATTCATAAATTTTTTGCAAACTTAAATATTTTGATTTTTTATGACTTTTAATCTAAAAATCATAATAAGTAATAGGAAGTGAAAATATGAAATTACTCATAAATTTCTATTTCTGCTTTGAAAAACTTTTGGCAAAAATCATTTTGCATATCTAGGTTTAGTGACTTTACATCTAACAAAGAATTAAGGATTATAAACTTAATCCAATCCACTTTTTTTAAATAAAAAATACAAAATTATAGATTTTTTTGTTCTGACTAAGCTTGGTTCAATGATAATAAATAAATAGAAGTATGATTAAGCTTAATAAATTTAATTTGATTTACCTCTAATTTTATTTGCAAATCATTATTTTTATGTTAAACGACAAAAAATAGAAAGAAAATATTTTTATATTATTTTTAATTTATAAAATATTTATTTATGAATGATTATTAATAACAAACTCTTTGAATTAAAAATATATAAATACTTTCAAAATATATTTTTTTTTTATAAGAAATACTTTAATTAATTAATTAAATACATAAATATATACATAATTTCATTTCAACCTAGAGCATTTTAATACATATTATAGTTCATTGTATTTTCTTTACTTTAATAGAACTTAGCACTTAAATTCTGGTCTTTCCTATTAAATAGCTTTTACAATAGATTCTACTCCATTTTCAAAAATTAAAAATATGTACAAACTCCCATTTGGAGCCAACAAATCTAGTGATGTATCAATCATATTTTATGTGACTACCATGCCATCTTCTCCGCCTGCGTAGCTGGCTTCGATGCAATTTATTTTTTTCATTTCTTCCATTTTACCCTCTTTAAGCAGCTTGTCTTTTTAGTATAATTTTTGATAAGCGCTAGCAACTTCTTCGTCTTCTGTAGGCACATAAGGTGGATTACAGATGACCACATCTGCTTACCCTTTTAATCTATTATATAAACCTTCTGCAACATCAGTGTTAACACATTCTACTTAACTCAAATGATAATGATTAGCATACTTTTGAGTTAGGATATTTGCATCGTAATTTATATCTATTGCTATGGCTAAACTTGAACTTTTATTTTTTTTATCCAAAAATGATACTAAATGATTAATCAAAATTCCAGATCCACTTCCAATTTCTACTATCAAAGCACCTTACTCAATACTATTCTCTGCCTCAAGATTCAGAGCTTCAATCATAAGATAAGAATCATCGTTTGGTCTATATACTTAATCTAATTCTCCTTTCTCAATGAAAGGTAAATAATCCAAAAAATCGTACTTCAAATAGTTATTTGTATTATACACTACATCTAAATTCTCCATATCTTCAAATATATATCAATAATTAAGCTGCTAAAAATGAAATAATCTATGTCTAGTATTTACTTCTTTTAATTCTATACTTTTATTCTTCTTCTTAATTTAAATGGTTTTTAATTTTCAACTTTTGATTTGATTATTAATTAATTTCTTATAATTTCATATTTTTCTTTAACTAATTATATTTCCTTTAATAGTGAAGAATTTATAATAGAATTGGTTAAATTTAGTTAAAATTAAAATTAATTTAATTTCACTAATCTATCAAATTTTAGAATTCAACTATAGTAAAAATAGTTTATTATTTGCTTTAAATTGTGATATTTTAGCAAAAATGAATTTAAAGTAATAACAAAAGTAATTTATTTATTTTTTATTTGTATTTGATATCTTATTCTGATTGTACCTTTTTTTCTATTAATATTTTAATTTATATAAGTAAAAAAATGTATTCTTATCATAAAAAGATGTAAAATAATGTTAGATTAATATTCAAATATTTAAATTTTATACAATTCCTTTTTGTTGATTTTTCAGTTCAGTTATTGATCTTATTATTTTTTATTTATAGATTTAATCAGATTTTACGATATATTATTGAACATGAAAAATATAACAAGCAATTTTGAATTTAAAAAAAGATTTAATTAAATTTTGTATATTTATTTATATTCAACATAATAATATGATGTTAGTTATTAAATTTGATAATACTGAATTTTTATTAAATAATAATCATTCATTTTACAAATTAATATATTTATTATTTAAATAAAAATTTTATTGAGTAAAGTCTTAATTATCTAAATGAATTAAGTTAGATATTTAATAAGGAGGATATTAATTGATTGATTGATATATTCATCAAACAAGTTATTTTTATTAAGATTTGATATTTGTTAGATAGACCATATACAAAATCATTAATAAAATATTAAGCAATATCAATGAATGCTTATTTATATTTTTATTTGATTTGCATTTATATATGAATATAAATAAGAAAATGAAAACAAATTAGAACATAAATAGGTTAATGATAAATGGATTGTATTAATTAATCAAAATAAGAATGATATTTTTTGTTTGTTTGTTAGCTTGTTAGTTAGTTATTAAATTTGATTAAGAATAATAAAGCCTTTGAATGCAAAAGTGAAATAATAATTTCATATTCAAAAAGAGGCAAGTAATACAAATAAACCAAGCAAAAAATAAATAAGCTATTGTTGACCAAGAGCTCATAAAAATAAAATATATAACTATAAATATATAAGAAAGAAAAACAAGAAAGACCTTTTAACTAGTAAATGTCAGTATAAAGCCAAAGTAGATAGAATAAAAGCTCTTATGGCTCTCAACGTTAGGGCTCAATTTAGTAGCAAAGCATTAACTAGCAGAGCAGGACAAGCAATAACTTCAATCAATCTAATAAAACTTTTACTTAAAAGAATACAATTTAAGTGCCTTTTTCAGAAATAGTTAGGATGAAAGAAAACTGCCAAATAAACTCAGATCCTGAGAAAGAAAGGAAGCTAAAGGAGAAAACAGAGTTATACGAGCTATCAAAGTAGCGTGTTAAAAATTGGCCAAATACCATTTAGGCTATAAGAAAAAAGAAAGATGAAACTAGATTTGAGAAATTTAAGAAAGATGAAGAAGAGCGTAGACGTGTAGACGAAGAAGAAGCCCGTTATCAGGCTAATGTTAAGAAAGAAATCATAGAAAAAGCAAATAAGCAAATTTATGAGGGGAATGATCGTGTTAAAGCTTTCTAATCAAAGTTACTTTTAGTTGACACACTTTAAGAGCGTGAAGGATAGATTGAATTGAAGAAATAAGTACTTTTACAAATTTAATTTTAATATTCAATTCGACTCCACTATTCGCCAGAATGTCATCAATTTTTTAACATTGAATAGCAGTTACTTTAAGAAATTTTCTGTCTTCACATGGGATATATCTATTTTATATTATATTAGCTAAAAAATGAGTTTAAGTCAAAAGATTTTAGTTTGTGAATTTTTTATTGAATGATTGAATATCACTTAATTAATCTTAATCAATCAGTCAATCAATCAATAATATTAACCTTAAAAAAAGAAACAGTTACCACTTTTAGGAATTATTTAATTTTATGATATATCTACAAATATTATGGCATCAATATTTTAAAATTTAAAAGAAAATATGCTAAAAAGTTAAACGAAAGCGAATGAAATTATTTCAATAAATTAAATTTTTGAAATCATTTTAATTAATTGATTAATCTTATTTTTTGAAAAGGTTTAAGAAATGGAAAAGATGAGAGAAGAAATTCATTTAGAAAATATGAAGGAGAATATAAGGAAACTTGAAGAAGAGGAACAAAGAAAAAAGGAAGAACTTGAAGAGAAGAAAAGACATGCATAAAAGATATTACGTGAACAGCATGAAGAAATGAAGGTCAAGTATATTAAAAGACTTTAGGATGAAAAGATTGAAGGAGAAATCATCAAGCAAAGAGCCTTAGAAGCAATAGCTAAGGAAAAAGAAGAAGAAAGAGCTCGTAGAGAAAAGGCTATTCAAATTTAAATAGATACTAAGAAGGGTAACGAAGTCCTTCAAACAATCCGTGCTGAATTGAAAGAAAAAGAAAAATTAGAAGATGAAAAAATAAAATAATATGCTGAAAAGAAAGAAAAAATTACTGAAATGAGACGTTTACGTGAAGAAATGCGTTTTAAAGAGAAGCAAGAACAACGTTAAAAATTAATAGATGAATAAATTAAGCGTTTAGCTGCCATTAAAAACGAAGAGGAATCTCGTATTAATAAATAAATCATAGAGGCATAAATGAAAGCAGATGAAGCAGAGAAGAAGAAGCGTGAAGCAATCGCTGCCTAAAAGAAGCGTTTCGATGAAAGTATTTAATTAACCTTGAAACGTAAAGAGTAATAAGTTGTTGAACAAAAAATGGAAGACTAAGCTTACTAGCAATATTGGTAAAAAAAGAATGTCCAAATACAATAAAGAGAGCATTAAGAAAAGAGAGAGGCTTTCAATCGTGCTAAAGATTTATAAGATTTCCACAAAGTTTAAGCTAATGAAAAGTAAAAGCTTCGTGAAGAGGCCTTTTTAAATGAAATGGATGAAGCTGAAAAAATTAAATAACGCCTTGAAAATGATGACAAAAATTTCAACTCCTGGGCTGAAAGAATGATCAGAGAATGGAACAGTGATGGCAAAGATATTAAGCCTCTATTAAAAGAGCTCGCAACATACAATAAAAAATTGTGAAAAAAAACAAAATTTTATAATATTGCTAATCCATGTATTAAAATATAATAAACTAGATAGATAGATGGCATTATAATATTTTAATAACTGGACCAGGTTTAATTTAAGATGAATAAAATATTTATGAAAATTTATTAAGTAAAGGCACAAATCAATAAAATTCATAAATAAATTGAGTATAATTACTTTTTATATATATTGCCCTTTTTTTAAAATTGAAAACTCATATCAAAACCAAGTATTTTTTTAAAATTATTTTATTATTTGAATAAAACATAAAATCTACTTCTAAATATTTAGATTATTTTAAATTAAATTAAGATCAAAATATTTTATATAAAAATTTTAAACATTTTATATGTTTATATATATATGGATATGAGTCCTTGGATTCAGTCCTAATTGGATTTAACTTAGAGAAAAATATTTTTAATTTTCAAAAACAAAATTTTTACTTTAATATTGAAATTAAAACTAGTTAGTTATTCAATAAATTATATATTTATATTATTTTTTATATAATATTTAAGAATAAATAATAAACAAACAATAATTAATTACTTAAAGAATAAAACTTTTATTCAAAAAAAAGACTTCTTTTAAATTATGGTTTGGTGTTGATAGATAGATAGTTAGAGTGGATTTGAATTTTAAAAAGTAATATATATTTAGGTTTACAAATAGGATTGCTACTTCTGTTTTATATTCACAATTTTAAAATTAGATTATTTTTAAGCATTCAAAATATTAGTAAAAGATTTAAAAATTAATTAAACATCTGCTTATGCAAACATACATAGATTATTTTTTAACTATAAAAAAGCAATTGAAATATTAAAATATATAAAACAATATATTTATATCTCAAATTAACAATATACTAGACACTAATAATAGTAATATCATTTATAACTTGCATGAAGAAGATTTATAATCAGTATTATTTGTAAGATTGTTTTTTTCATTTTAATCGTTTTCACTGTTACTATTTGTTTTATCTCCTTCTTTTTCTATTTAATTTTCTTATTTTTCTTCTTTAATTTCCTATTTTTTTTCATCTTGATTTTCTTTAGTTTTATTTTATTCATCATCATCAGTTTTACCAGATTAGTAAGTATTATTTTATTTTTCATCTTGATTTTCTTTAGCTTTATTTTATTCATCATCATCATCAGTTTTACCAGATTATTAAGTATTATTTTATTTTTCTTCTTTAATTTCTTATTTTTTTTCATCTTGATTTTCTTTAGTTTTATTTTATTCATCATCATCAGTTTTACCAGATTATTAAGTATTATTTTATTTTTCTATCGCAAGCAAGCATTTGTAAACTTAAGAATTATGCTATTAAACTATATTTTAGTGAGATTTGCAATAATTAAGTATACAGTCCTTATATTAAGAAGCTTAAGGTACTTATAATTAACATTCATTAGTAAGACATTTCATTTAATCAAGTAAATTCTCTATACATAGTTGATTAGAGTCTTTACAGCTAGAAATCATATTAGTAAAGCATTGACCACTTTCTCCATTTTCTGGATTTGAATAAAAACTAATTAATTCGTTGGTGGATTTATCTAGTTCCGATTACATAGAATTTTCATTTAGCTTAATCAAGTTTTCAACATCTTCTTTTTCTCCGTCTTCCACTTCTTCATCTGGTTATTCATAGGTTATAATTAATTTATATTGATCATATTCATCAAAATCTAATTTATTTTTTTATTTTGTTTGTTATGAGATGCAAAATCCAAGCAAGCAAATACTCAATATCAGCAAATAATTTATTTTCATATTTATTAAAACTTTTATTATTATTATTTTAATTAAACTTTTATTTTCTTTATTTGTTTTAGTTTATTATTGTTTATTAATTTCCTATCAATACTATTTTTCTAAATTAAATAAATATTAAATAGTATAGACAAAGTAATTAAAGAAAAATCTTTGGTAATATGATGAATGAAAAAGAACATTAAGATTTTCTTTTACATAAATTAGCTATTTTTGAAAATTAAATTTAAAAACAAAAGCAAGCACTATCCTAGTTATGATTTGAGGAAATAAACCTACTAATTTTTAAATTTATTTGTTATATAAGATATTACTAATGTAAATGAATTAATAATACTAGATTAGAGCTACTTATTATAGTCTTTATACAATTTAATTAATTTTAAAAGAATTTTACTATAATTAGATAATAAAATTTAAAAAGAACAATCTAAAACTGTAAGAGAAAATAGTATTTGTGTATTTAAATTTAGTTTTGTTTAGAAAACAATAAACTTAATAATAACATATACTTTAAAAAAGAAAAAAAGATACAAAATAACATAAAAACATAGCTAAATTTAATTAATTTAATTTAATTTGTTCTATACTTTAAATTTTCTACTTCAATGATTTAAATAGTATTTAATGTTTTTATATCTAATTTAGTTAAATAAACAAATTATAAATTTAAAAAAATTAAATTATATTAAAGAAAAATGTAAAAATTACATTGGTTTTTATAAAGAGAAATGAATTTAAATTCACATAAAAATATAAATCAAGAAAATTTATCAAAACAAATTTTAAAATTAATACTATTAGGTAGAACACAATATTTAGTTTTAAATTTCTAATTGATAGTATTACTAATCAAATATAGTTTTAAATTTATAGACTTTTAATATATTCAAGTATTGTATAGCTCAGTTTTTAATTATAGCTACATTATTTCTTAATTTATTAGGTATGATAAATTAATTATACATTTAACTATAACAAAATAATTAATATATATCTAAATAATGAAGATATATCCAATTTAATTTTAAAATGTGTGCAAATAAATTATAAATATTCATTTTAAATACAATATAAATTAATAAATAAATAAATAATAAATAGATTTATTTAGTCTTTAAATATATTTAATAAATGAATTTTATAATTATAGATAAGATTATTAACTATTTTCATTTGAATTATTAAATTGGTTTTATATAAAATTAACTATTACTGAATTTATTTATATTATAAATCAATCTATTTTTAGAGAATTTATCCTCGAAAATAATAAAATAAAATTTAACCTCATTTTTTAAGATTATTTTTTAAGTGATAAAGTATTTTATTTAAACATAAATGTTTTTTTTGCTTTACTAATTTAATTAAAATTTTTATATTAAATTGTCAAAATATTATTATTACTTTTCATTTTAAATTTAAAGTTTTTAAATATTTTTTAGAATGTGATTAAAGTGTTTCTCAATATAATTAGAAAACACTTATTTCAAATTTTACTAAAATCAGAATTTTCTATTTATTTTTGAGACAAAAGATTTTATTAAATATAATTTCTTGAAATTTGTTTTAGTTTGAATTTTGATTTATTACAATAATTAAAATAATTACTAAATTTACAAAAAATTAATTTATTAAAGAATAATAATCTATCTATCTATAAATAATTTCAAAAATGGTTGTTGTCAAATAAATGCTCATGATTATCAGATTCGGCAGCTTCCACTTCACCTTCCAAGACTATATCTTTATGAACCTGAGATTGTTATTCTTAGTTATCTTCCTTAGCCTCTTTATTGTTTTGATCATAATGAACTTGATTCTAATAACTTATTTTACTGTCAGTTTTTTTTATAAAAAGATTATTTATATGATCTGACTTTTGTAGTAAATCATTGTGACTATTCTAATCTTACTTCAAATATTTAAAAAAGAAAATTATATTTTACAACTATTAATATTTTTCTAGTTTAAAATAATAAATACCTCAATAATTTTAAGCTTTTTAAGTTGCTCTTCGTTCAATAAAATTTCATAAAACTTAATGATATTTTCATCCATTTCATCTAATCTATCTTCGATAGACTACTAAAATTTAGTAATTTATTCTTTAGTGACTTGCTTGATATTTTATAAGACTAATTCATCTCCTTATAAGGCTTTGGATTCTTAAATAGGCTCACTAACTATTTTATATTTCTACAGCTTTATTAAAATTCTTCTTACTAAAGGTATTTTGGCAATTAAATAAACTAGAATAGAAACACAAATAGCAATAGCTTGTATTATATAAAGTCCTCCAACCTTTGATTTTATTTAATTTTAAGTTTTAATTATTTTAAAATACCTTCCTTCTAAAATAAAAATTAAAAAATTGTGTGTGAATTTACTTAATCAAACGTGATCTAATCATCAAATGCTCCTTTATTGCACTTGGAGTAATTTTTCTATAAAAAAGCATCTATTATTTTCTTGCTGAATGAATTGACATTATAAATTTAAATTTGTTTATTAATTTAAGAAATCAAGTTAGGATCTTAATTCATATTAAAGGCCATACCATAATTAAATTAATAAAAGTTTCTTCCTACTAAATATAAATTGCAGTTTGAGAATTCAAAAGATTAAGCCTAAATGTCATCAATTGCATATGCAACTACTTTAAAATCATCATCTCTGCTTAAATTTTTAACAACCTACTCTAAGCTGATATCATCATATAAAGTCTCTTTTTTTTTAAATTCATTAATACCAACATTAAACAGAATAAAAAGAATAATGTAAAATTAATTAAAAAAAATGTTAATAAATAATTTAAAATTAAATGTATTTAATGAGATAGATAGATAATCATTTATTTACCTCCATCAGATCCGAAATCTGAATAAAGAGGGATAGCACCATATTAGTAAAGTTAATAGCTATTAACAGAATAATTTATAACCCTTTTATTGTTCAAATCATATGGAGATTTGATCGAGTATAAAGGTTACTCAATTGTTAGAATATTTGTCATTTTTGCCAAATAAGTTGAAGAAATTATCATAATCATGAACCAAAAAGTTATTTATATAAGTCTTGACCCACTTCTCTTCAGGTTAATTGTAGTAATAAAAAAAATACTGGTCATTGAGTTCCATAAAAACTAATCAAGGCAATATTCTTGCCTTTCTAAAAAGAAGTGAATAAATCCTATAACTAAAGCAGTTGCTATAACTAAAGCACAAATTTGAGAAGTTAGGACCTAAAAATATAATGAATGATAAATAATTTTAATTTCATTAAAAAAGTTCTCTATTTGATAAATAAATCATTACAGTTACTTGAAGCCAGTAATCATTTTTGTTGTATATCAGTATAGAAATGCCAGTGTTCCACATTGGGTATGAAAATATTATTCCATCTTACTCTCTTTTAGAATCTATAGTTAGACCTCCAATAAATCCTACATATTTATCAGTCTTTTATAAATATGAATTTAACTGTGAAAAATCAATGCATTCATAAGTAAAATCTGTGCTCGCCCATCCTAATTACTTTAAAAATGTTTAATTCCTTTTAACTAAAGTAATTACAATCTATTGTAATAAGTATATGAACATTTATTTTACATTTGCAATATTATTAAACATTTCTATGTCTAATCCTTAAAAATTTGCCTTATCAGTATCTCCCTCTGTGCAATAAACCATTGGAGGAAAAGGCGATGTAAGTATAGTATATTTTAAAGCATCTACCTACTTTATAGATAATAAAATTATCCCTAGTATTATAATTTGAAGATAAAATTTCCTTTCCATTTCAAAGATTTTTATATATTTTATAAACACTTGCTATCTTTATATTTGGAGTTTTCAAAATAAAAAAATCATATGATTGTATGATAAAATAATGATTAATTAATTGTATTTATTTATTGGTCAATAAACATTATTTATTTATTTAGTTAGTTATTAAATTCTATTGTATAATTAATTGCTTTGCTTATCAATTTCTTAAATATTAAAATTTACAAATTTCAATAATATAATTTTATTTTCTTTCTAAATAAAAAACAAACTAAATTAAGTAAGTAAATAAAAACATATTAGTTTTAAATTGCCTTTAAATAATTTTGATTTTCTTTAAGCTAGAGAATGAAAAATTGATTATTTGATTTTTTTAATTAGTATTTAATTTGAAAATAAAATATTTTGATAAATAAACAATAAATTAAATTATATTAAATTATTTTCAGACGTTTTGTGCTCCATTAATGAATACTGGACCAGTTTCAAATTAATTTCTTAAATCAGTAGTGGCACCAAATTTATTAGAATTGTTGTTAACTCCATTATATGATAAAAATTTGTCATATTATCCCTGCATACCTGTGGGAGGTCTTTAATGAGCATAATTAGCAGTTCCTTTTAAATTTATTTTTTTTATTTAAAAGCTTTATAAAATAAATAATGATTACTATTGAATGGAGAAGAAGGATAGTTATCAGGTTAAACATTTCTGATTGGTGATAAATTAGAGAGTTATGCAACTTGATAGGGATTTCTATCAAAAGGATTATAATTTTATTAAGCTGGGTTAGGCAAAACAACATTTTGAGCTACTTGAGGTCTATTTTATGTATTTGAAATTACTGCTTATTGAGGGAAAGGGAGATATGAAGGATCATTAACTCCCACATTATGTTAAAGTATATCAAATTTATTCTTTTCATAAAAAGCTTTTCTTTCGTTTTCACGAAGTGAGGGTTCCATGACTTTTTTAGTTAAAAAATTATCAATATAATATGATTTTAATATTGAAAATACCTGAAAGAGTATCTTAAATTCCTCCAAGCTTTTAAATATTTTATTTTAATGCAAGAGAAGGAGCTTCCTAAGCTAAAAAGTAAGGATGGGAAACTTCATGTTCTTGAGCTCCAAAAAGCTTACGAGGATAAATGTTCTTAGTTTCTTATCCTTGTAAATTAGCAGGAATATTTCTGTTTAAGAAAATATTTTAAGCATTTGAAAAACTTTATTATGGTCTGTTAGTATCCTTAATGAAAAACTCATTATCAGGATAATATTGCTTTGAGTTTGCTTAAACATCTATATAGTTCTGAATATTTTATAAATTATAATTGAATTAGCTAAAATCCCATTCAAAAATGATGAATTAATTACATATTTTGGAGGAACATAAGTATTAAATTGTCCTTCTTAACTTTATTAAAACATTTATCTCAAATTTTATGATTATTCTTCATCAATTTATCTGCTGAATTTATTATATCTATATTGGCCTTGCATGTAGCTATTTATAAAAGTTCAAAAATTCTAAGGCTTAAATTCTTCTAATATAAAATCAATTTTTTGCTAAAAATTATAAATAAATGAATACTCTTTCTCTGCTTATGTTGGTGGTCTCAAAAAGGCTTAAGCTTCAACATGCTCAGGTTAAAAACTCTTCTTCTTGAGTTCATCTAATAAATTATCTTATACTGATTTTTCATAATATCCATAAAATCTATTTTTATAACAAAAATTTCATGCTTTCATCTTTAAAATGCCTATGAAGGGTTTTAATTTGGTAATAAATGAATTATATTTTAATTTATATTTACTAGCTTTCATATTCCTTCATTTTCCCTAAAAACTCATCTCTATTTGTGACTGCTTTTAAGTCTTTCATAAACTTATCTACATTTTGGCTAATTACTTTTTTAATTTAAAAATTTAAAGTTATTTCGACCTAATTATACAATATCAACTAAAAATGTTAGAAATTCTAGAAATTACATGTCTTGTCCATTTCTTATTGATATTTCTTTTATGTAAAATATTTATTTATTTGCGATTCTTTTGCTTTTTTTTTAAACTTTTAAAAGTAACTACCTATCTGATTTTAACCTAAATATTTGATTGATTTTTCAAATTATTTTTAAAATTTGCTATAAAAAGACTGAAAAAAAAAACAAAAAAACAATTAATTGATTATTCATCACCAAAAGATAGTCAAGTAAATAAAAGTAATAAAGATTTTGCAAAATAAATTCATAATTAAGTTATTATTTAAATTATATATGAAAATAATTACAAAAAGAGGAATTAAAATCAAAGCTCAATTATTTATTAATTTTTAAAAATTATATTATTTATTTAATTTTATTAAAATTTAAGTTCTTTATCAAAATATTCTAATTAATTGGCAAAAAGCATGGATTATATTTAAGATTTATTTAATTTATAATGACATAAACCAATTATTTTAATTTTTCTTACTATCTCATAAATATTTGATAAACTAAAAAATATTTTATCAAATTAAACATCTAATATTCAATATTACAAAATTTATAGTAAGATAAATTTCAAATACTATAGTTCCTCGATAATTAAAGCACCAATATATATTTAACAAGAATTTCTCAAAATACAAATAATATCACTTATTACAACGAATTTATATAAAACAAAAACCTAATATCCAAAAAAAAGCACGGTATAATAAAAAAAATTATTTGTTAAGTTATTATGAATTAAAAATATGAAAGCCAGAAAAAGTAAGTATATTCAAAATTAATTGAGTTATTTATTTAGTAAACTGCCTTCATTTTTAAATGGTTATGTTCAATGAAATGATTTGATTAGATTAAATATGCTGTTTTGTCTAAAATTTATATCTTTTCTATTATTTCTTCTAATAAAATTTTATGGCAATTTGTCAATTGATATCAAATTTTATTATTTAAATACTCTCATAATTATTTATTTGGTATTTAAAAAATATCAAGTAAATTGATTGAGTTTTTAATTAAACTTAATACATTCATAATATTTAATGTTATTGGATATTAAAAATATAAAATAGCTTAATCAATCACCTTTTTTAGAATTGAAAAAACTATTTATTTTTTTTATTTAGTAGAATTTATATGATTAATATTATTTGTTTTTATAAATCTCTTTTTTTAATAACAATATTCATTAGAATACTTCTATATAGTATATTTTATTCATTCTAAAATACTTTTCAATATAACTCCGATGATTTACTACTTTTTTACAAAATTCTCCTTTACTGAATATATATTTAAAAATAAATTTGTATCTTTCTATAATGAAGCAGGGCGTTTGCTAAAGATAATTGATGTAAATTAAAGAAACTATCTGTATTGTGAAGATAAATAACAAACAAAATCACAACCTAACAAGCTAGACTATATAAAAAATTAATATATGCTATTGAAAATTACCAGAATTAATAAAATAGATATATAGAAAGATTTTTTATCAGAAAAATATCAAATAGATTGGTAAGTAGATAGAGAATAGATATTGCAAACTCTTAAAATAGCTCAAAATTTATTTCAAAAAACTCCAAAATATAAGAAGACATCAGGATTACAAAAAAGCTTAAAGATTAGAAATTTAATAGTTATCTTTCTGAAAACTTTAATTCGTGTTGAAATAATAAAGCAAATAATTTATTTAAATAATCAATCAAATCTTGAAAATTTTCATAAACAACTTCGCCATGAACCTTAAAATTACTCAATTTATTGCTATAAAACTGATCTAAGCAGCTTATAAGAACTTCAAGTTTTATCTTGCTATCGTGCTTCTCTTTGTTATATAATAGCAGGTAATAAAAATACATTTTTTTATTTCAAAATAACATCTACCAATAATTGATTGATTGATGAAGTAGTCCTTTAATTAATATTTTTTTATTACAGTAAACAAATCTAGGCACAAGCGATAATACTATAGCAGTGATAGTTTATTTAAGCTTTTTCAGCTTGATTCTTTCTAAAGTTTTAGCATGGATATTCCTTTAGGATTTTACTAAATTAGCATAAGCTGCTATAAATTTACCTCTACACATTTCTGGATTAATAGACTTCTATTATGTCTACACTGATTCTACCTGTACAAAACCTCACAATTCGCTGAGATTCTACATCTCAAACATCCTTTCTTTATTTTGCTTACCTGCATATATAATTGTGATCATTCTCAATGATTATATCTATTAAGGAATAGAAACATAAATTATTTATACAGTAATTCTGCTCAGTTCAATCAATGAATTTCTTGTTTATTTTATTTATGGCTTACCAACTGCATGTAAAATTAGCAGTAGTAGTGTTTATTATTCGCTTATATAGATTTATGAGATAGTTACAAGCATGTCTTTTACTGGACTCCTTATTTTAAACATTAGATATTCTATTCCATTCTTAATAGCTTATTTCTCCTACCTTCCTTTAATGTTTATTTTACTTCCTTGTGTTTCAAGTACTTTCTACTCAAATAATAGACCTATTAATTGTGTAGAAAAAGCACTTTACTTCACTACATTTTGGCTCTGCACATATCAATTTTGCACCAACAGAATTGTATCTAAAAAAAAAATATTTGCAGATATCACTAACAAAACTAACAAATTCTTGGTTATTTATAAATTCCTCTTCTACTAATTCCCTTACTTTTTCTTTCTTGCAAACATGGACAATATAAAAGGCTAAGTTTCTAATTCAAATCAAATCAAAGTTTTGTTTGTAATTGCTACAGTATGCCAGTTCAAACTTATTTATGATATTTTATACTCATTCTTAGTTAGAGACTAAAAAGAAATAGTTATTAATGATTCCAACTAGTTATAAAAGTTGATTAAATAGGCTTCAGACAAGACCAACTCTAATTCTAAACTTGAAAGAATAATCATCAAGATTCCATATTAATCAAGTGAAGTTTTAAATCAAATATTACATTTATGCTTAGGTTTATACGAAAAATGTGAAGTGGTAATCAACAACTCTAAATGGGGAAGATTTAAATATGATGAAAATGATTATAAATATAAAGTAAAATTAGATTGCTTTAATTTTGACGCTGGCTAAAGCTTAAAATGTATAAACGAAATCAATGAAATTTCTGAAAAAATTCATTTCTTAAAAATGAAATTATATACTAATAAAACTGACAAATAATCTTAATTGAATTCAACTACTTTATTATCTAAAATCTTCAATAGCAACATTCTTTACTTTAAAATTGATAACGATTTAAAAGATGATTCTTTCTATTAGCTTATTTAACAGTACTAAAGTGATTAACTAAAGGGAGTTATTCATTTTCTCGTTTTTAAGTATTAAATATCTGCTTACTTAACAGTTAATCCTGCTTATGTTTATTTTGATTTATTTGATAAGTGAATTTTAAACTAAACAATATTATACCATATTTTATTATTTAGTCTGATTAATTTACAACATTTCTAGTTCTTTTGCAAGTATTATATGTTTATTTATTTGTTTATTTGACAACAATTTTAATTTAATTTTTATATTTCTCAAAGCATTAAATTTTTAATACTAATTAGAACAAAGAGAGTCTAAGTAAAATAATTATATTTTTTTTAATAACTAAATCATAATATTTTATTTTTAACAATAAAATTTCTTTAAAAATATGGAGTAGGATTGAGGATTAAAATAAATTTTTAAATCTAAAATATGAACATTATTTTAATAATTAAAATTGTTAACATTTTTAATTATTTTTTATTTTAAAATCCTGTCTGAAAAATAAAAAAAATTAATTTTATCAACCACTATTCAGTTTTACAAATAATTATATGGTTTGACTAAATTGTTTTAAAAAATAACTTATCATACATTTAATTTTAAATATCTTTAATATCTTAAATATTTTAAATTAATAATTTATTTTTACTTCAAAACATATTTAATATAAAAGGCTATATTAATTAGTATTCCTATATTAGGCTAAAAATAATTAGATTTTTTAGTACTTAGTTCATATCAAAACATTAATTTTTTAGAAAGATATCTTTAAATTATGAGGTAAGAATAATCTATATCCATCAAACAAACAATTGTAAATTAACACAAGTAAATTGATTAAAATTCAAATTTATCAAATAATAAATAAATAAAGAATATTAATATAGAAATGTAATCTTTACAAATATAAAATAAAGTATTAATTCATTCATTCATTTTGTGCCAATCACCAAAAGTCCATCTAAACCAAGGGGAAGATTTTTCTCCATAATATGTTCTTTTAACTTCTGATATATAGCTTATTTAACTTTTTCTTTATTTTCTCCAGTAGATTCTATTGCTTATAAATTATTTGGAAAGTTTAAAAAGTTATTTATTTCTTATTCAGTTGTGTGGTGAAATGGTGCAAACTAGTTCCAGCATATAACATTTTTAAAACCTGCATTTTACATCATTTCTATGAGTTTTTCCCTATTGTTTAAATGAAAATTGCTTCTGATTGGAGGTTCTTAATATCCAAATTAGCTTAAAACAGAGGGTAAAATAGTATAAAACAGCGACTTATCTTTTTCACCCCAAACTGAAAAACCTGCTGAACCTCCTTTTTGAAGAACCCTGTATGACTCTTTGATCATTAATTCTGGGTTAGAAGTTAATTAAAGGCATAAATTAGAAATATAGCAATCAAAAGTATCATCTTAGTATTAAAGTGCTTCTCCGTTTGCCTTTTATATTGTTAAGTTGTAAAGATTCTAGCTTACTTATTAGTTGCTTAAACAATCTTGTAAGTTCATTCTTCTACACAATATTTTCAACATATTTTCTGATAAATCAGTTGCAAAATATTCAGCAGAAGGCTTTTTATACTTTAAAGCATGGTTTAGAAGATAGCCACCTCCAGCTCCAACTTCTAGAATTTTGTTTCTCTAATCAAATTTAATCATATTTAAAAGAGAAAAGTAGAACAAATTTATACTGTTATCCTAAGTAACATATTTTTCAGAGAAACTATCCCAAAATGTCTCTAATTCTTAAACTGATTTCACACAAGAAAACTGTTGCTTCCCTTAATATTTTAAACTTTTTGTAAAGTTGAATAGTAGCTTTTTCATTTTAAGTATTTAAAATTTTAATCCAATTTATTTATTTATATGTGATAATCTCTGCTTTTTTGATGCAGTATTTAATGTTAATAATAAATCCAATTATCTGAAAGAACAAATGATAATTTCTTTTTTATGTATTATTTTGCAATATACGTAGATTTTTTACATCAACTCATAAATTAAAAATGTAAAGACAAAACATATTCCAATACAAATAAATGTAATTTAAATTTATTATTTTTTACCACTAAAGATTTTAGATTGCAAATTTTTAGAGTAATCTAAAATTGAAGCTATCTAAATGAATTATTCTTTTTATATGCTATTCTTTGTTACATTTTGAAAAACACACTAATAAAATATTTGCAAAAGATGAATTTTTGTTTATAAGTTTACTTAATTAAAAATATTATTCTTAATCTGATTTTATTATCATTTAATATACATTTAACTATTTTATCTGTTGCATTTTAAACTGAATTATTAATGACATTTTTCACATAAATAATTAGCACAAGATCAATATCTACCATTTTCCATTTGAAACCTATTCTATTTCTCTCTAAAGCAGGAGCAAAAACCTCCTGATTAAATTACCTAATAATAAAACTGCTCAAACCAATCCTCATACCTTGTATGATTTATTTACTTAATTACTAACTTATTTATTTATTTATGTATATTTATATCTATTTATTAAAACTCAATTAAATATGTTTTTTCCTTCCAATCTTAAGACAATATAAAGTTCAATTTAATTAAAAATTTAATTGATTATTTTATAATTTGATTAAATTCTAACTTTGTAAATTATTTTTTTATAAATAACCAAATATTTTAAAGAACTACTTTTTTAATTTTGGTGAATTTATACATTTTGATAAAATAATTGGATTAAATTAAACTAGAATTTTAAATATTTTAAATAAAACACACCAAATATTTTTTTAACAAAAATAGAAATAAAATTATACAAAACATATTTTTTCTGTTATTGTTTAAGCACAAAATAAATAAATAAATAAATAAATCCAAATTTAAAAAAGTTGATTTCAAAAAATTTCCAAAATTAATTAATTTTAAATAAATATTAAATAAGGTGATTTAATTAAAAATTGGATTGTAAAAAAAATTTCGATTAAATTACAACTTAAAAATACTTTTTATTGTTCATTTCATTAGATATTTTCAATTACTAATAACAATACAAATATCAGAATTTAAAAGATTAGTTTAATATTTATTGATGTACTAAATACGTCACCAATTTATAAATTGAAATAAAATAAAATTTGAATACTTATAATATAATTTGATGGCGTAATAATTTGTTTATTGTATTAAATTTTTACGTATCTAATAATCATTATAATGAGAGCATTATAAATACATTAATTATACTAATATTTCTTATAAAAAATTAAATTTTGCTAAAAATAATATTTATTAATCATATTAAATAAGATTAGAGATAAAAAGATGTTTCCAAGCAATGATATTTCAAATACTTTAACAATTAAAAAGTCAAGTTAAAATAAATATAAATTTGATTAAGCTAATATTTGTGAAGAATAAAAAGATTAGTATCAAAATGTAGTTCATGTAAAAGCTAATGAGAATTCTTAGAAAAACTTTTACTAATCTATGAATTAAAATGTATTTACTGAGCAAAACGATTAGTATTTCTTATAAGATGAGTATGAATATGAAAAAATATCTAATAATAGTGAAAGTTAAGAAGAATTATAAATTGATTAATTTAAGTAATATAGCTAGGTTGATAGCTCTTTAAGTAATTCATTTGAAATAGACTTAGATTTAGATGATTATTTCATTTATAACAAAAAAATTAATTCTTTATTAAAATTATATAATTATGAAATTTAGAAATTAATTTCTAAAGGAGAAATTGGTTTTGTTTTTTAAGCTAAAAATCTAAAAACTTAAGAAGAAGTTGCGATTAAAATAATAAATTTCTAATAATTTAATTATCCTTACATTGATGATCTATTAAAAGCTTTAGAATAAAATATATCAGAATTTTAATAAAAGTATTAGAATAACTATTAATTAAAATACATGCTAAATGTTAAATAGTAGTTTATTTAAGATTAGATTTTCATATAAGAAATGGAAATCTGTAAGTTTAACTTTAACAGCACCAGCTTATAATTATATTTTCAAGAAATTAATTCAAAAAAATTTAAATACCCTCTTTAGATTAATTTCATTTTAGCTTGTTTTTTAAATGAACTTCATGAATAAAATCTTACTCATTTAAATTTAAAACCTTGCAATATTCTTGTCAATATGAATGGTTATATTAAAATATCTGATTTTATTGCTTCTAATTCATATTATGAACAACTATAAAAATTCCGCATGTATTTGAAATACAAAAATGACGATTTAGTTAGTCCTAAATTTTAGTTTCAAGATGATTTTAAAAAGCAGGATGTCTTTAATCTAGGCCATATAATGGATAGCGTTTTGTAAAACTACTCAGCAGTTTTTCAGAAATGTGATTTTTATAAGGATAATTTAAGATAAATATATAATATCATATAAGACTTTATGATTTGTAGTAATTCAGATTAGAGATTTAAAATTGCAGAAATAAAAAATATTATATTGAAAAAAATTAAAAATGTTAATTTTGATTTTATATCAGTTATGAATTTTAACACCATACTAACTCTATAAACTTAGATTGAAATTAATATTATTGAATTTAAAAATCAATCAAAAATATATAGAAATAAATCATTATAGAATAGTTAAAAATAACAATCTAAGATAATTTTAAATCTTGAAAAAAATATGTTTGAGATAATTTAAAAAATAAGTTCAAGAAATTATTATGCTAAGAAAATAATAGCAGTAAGAGGAGAAGGAGTGGTCTTTGAAGGAATATAAAATTAAGAAAATAATAAATAACAAATAAAAAATGAAGTAATCATAAAAGTACAATTTAATAACAATAATCAAGAGTAAGATTAATTATTATATATATTACAATCCTTTATTTAATATGAGTATAATATAGTAAATTTACTTGATTTTGTGGTTTAATAAGAATTCTAAATATTGGTGTTAGAAAAGTGTGAAATGGACTTATCATAAGAATTGTAAAATATTCAAAATAATTAATCATCATTTTTTGAAGAACTAAAATTATTGAATATAATATTCGACTTACTTGATGGTTTAATTACATTATAGATGTATAATATTATTCACTGTGATATAAAACCATCAAATATTTTGGTAAATAAATAAGGACGCTATCTTTACACTGATTTTGGTATTTCATAAATAGTTTTAACTAATTAAAATATAATACCTTATGGGTTTACAAAATATTATGCTTCACCTGAATAAATGAAATATGAATATATTTCTTATAAATCTGATGTGTATTCTTTAGGAAAAACCTTCAATTAAATAATATAAATTTTTTCTAATAAAATAAAGAAATAATTACCAGTATACATTGCTAAATTTTAAGATTTAATTAACAAAAGACAATACTTTTAATTAAAAAATAATATGTCATTTTTTTTATGATAAACTTATTTTAATCTTTGATATTTTAAATAATGGTTATTTTTACATTATTTTTTAAGATTTATGATAAGTTTTATATTTACGAATCATATTGAACGAAGATACGATCATATTTCAAGATGGTAACCCAGCTAACACCAACCTTAAACAAAAGAATATTTTGACAAGCAGAATATAAAATATTAAATCTCACCTCCTAGAGAACTTTACTTAAAAAATTTACTTCTGATGAGATAGATATTCAGTATATGAGAAAAAAAATATGACATAACAAGTTAGAATTTAATTGACAAACAATAAGCCTGATATTAACTGAATTAATTATAGCAAGAAGCCATACAAAAATTTAGTGGTTTGCATCCCACTTATTATGAAATATATTTTTTAGTTATATTAGTTTTAAAACTAATTATTAAATAAGGTGATTTAATTAAAAATTTAATTGTTATAAAAATTTCCATTAAAAAATGATGGCTTAAAAATACTTTGTATTATGCATTTCATTAGATATTATCAATTATTAATAACAGTACAAATATCAGAATTTTAAAAATTAATTTTGTTATTTATTGACGTATTAAAGACTTCACGTCACCAATTTATAAATTGAAATAAAATAAAATTTTAATAGTTGTAATATAATTTGATGGCGTAATAATTTGTTTATTATATTAAATTTTTACATAACTAATAATAATTTAAATGAGAGTGTTGTGTTATAAACGCATTACCCATACTAACTTTTCATATAAAAATTAAATTTGTTAAAAAAATATTTATTAATCATATTAAATAAGATTAGAGATAAAAAGATGTTTCAAAGCAATGATATTTCAAATACTTTAACAATTAAAAAGTCAAGTTAAAATAAATATAAATTTAATTCTGCTAATATTTGTGAAGAATAAAAAGATCCGAATAAAAAGATAATTTATAAAAATGATAATGAGAATTGTTTGAAAAACTTTTAGTAATCTATGGATTAATATATAAATACTGAGCAAAGTGATAAGTAAATTTTATAAGATGAGTATGAAAGTGAAAAAATATTTAATAATTAAGAACTTTAAGAAGAGTAATCAAATGATTAATTTAAAGAAAATAGATGGGTTTATAACCTTTTAATTAATTTATCTTAAAAAGACTTAATAGATTCCATAAAAAACAAAAAAATAATTTCTCCTTATAATTAAAATTATGAAATTTAGGATTTAATTTCTAAAGGAGAAATTGGTTTTGTTTTTAAAGCTAAAAATCTTAAAACTTAAGAAGAAGTTGCGATTAAAATAATAAATTACTAATAATTTAATTATTGTGACATTGATGATCTTTTAGAAGCTTAAGTAAAAAATATAAAAGAATTTAAAGAAAATTATTAGAAAAATGATAAATTAAAATACATACTAAATGTTAAAGAGTATTTTATTTAAGGTAAGATTTTCATATAAGTCATGGAACTTTGTAAATTTAACTTTAATAGCAAAAGCTTATAAATCAAAATTTTTTGATCGCAATCGCAGTGAGCGCATCCCCCAAGAAATACCAGACTTTATGATATGTAGTAATTCAGATTAGAGATTAGAAATCACAGAAATAAAAGAAATGTTTTTCCAAAAAATTAAAAATATTAATTTTGATTTTATTTCAGATATGAATTTTAACATCATACTAACTCTATAAACTTAGATAGAAATTAATATTATTGAATCTAAAAATGAATCAAAAAAATTGAGAAATAAATCATCATAAGGATTAATGAAAAATCATCAATATAAATCATTATAAAGATTATTGAAAAATCTTGAAGATAATATGATTGACATAATTTCAAAATTAAATTCCAGAAATTATTAAACTAAGAAAATAATAGCAGTAAGTGGAGAAGGAGTGATTTTTGATGGAATATAAAATTAAGAAATTACTAAATAACAAAAAGAAGTAGTTATAAAAGTACAATTTAATGAAGTTGATATAGATTTACTTAAATTATTAGATATATAATAATCTTTTACTTAATATGAGTATAATATAGTAAATTTACTTGATTTTGTGGTTTAATAAAATTTCTAAATATTAGTGTTGGAAAAATGTGAAATGGACTTATCATAAAAATTGAAAAATATTAAAAATGATACTTTTGAAGAACTAAAATTATTGAATATGATATTCGATTTACTTGATGGTTTAATTACGTTTTAGTTATATTATATTATTCACTGTGATATAAAGCCATCCAATATTTTGGTAAATTAATAAGAACGCTATTTTTACACTGATTTTGGTATTTCATTAATAGCTTTACCTAATTAAAATTAAATTTAATATTCGTATACTGCTCCTTTTGCTTCACCTGAATAACTTAATAAATAATGTATTTGTTACAAAACTGATGTGTATTCCTTAGGAAAAACCTTCAATACAATATTTGATAAAGTAAATGAATAGTTACCAAAATATATTGCTGACTTTAAAATTTTAATTAACACCTATATGTTGGATAATGAACCTTCAAAAAGAAAAAATTGTTTAGAGCTTCATGAAATGTTTTTTTAATATGCAAAACAAAACAAACAATTTTTAGATTAATATATTGCTAGGTTAAATAGGTAAAAAGATTGAATCCCAGAAAGGTTTGTTAATTCAGCTTTCTTCTATCAATAATAAATTTACTACAATAATATTTGCATTGAAGTTAATAAAGATAAAAACTCTTTTTCAAAATAAGAGAATCTTTTAGATTGCCTTCTAATTTTAGGAAAATATGAAAAATCAATTATTTAATAAAACAAAATTTTTGAATTCTTGTAAAAAGAATATTCTAATCATGAAAATAATTTTACTTCATAGTGCTTAGTTTTTTCATAAGAACATAAACAATATCCTAGATTAGAATAAATGTAGGAATATCTTTAAAAAAAGCTTTAGGAATATTCAAGCAAACCAAATTAGTAAGATTAAAGTTATTACACAACTTATAATAACTTTGGGTTTATATTGTATAATAGATAAGATTATCATTAAGCTATTGAAAATCTAAGAAAATCTATTGAAATTTAAACAATAATATATTAAAAGAATCTTCATTTAGATTTGGCTATTACTCAATTAAATATTGCATTTTGCTATACAAAATTAAAAGAATATTAAATAGCTATTGAGTATTGTTCAAAATCTTATTCTGATTTTCAAAAAATTATTTAAAATGATAATCCTTATTCTTTTCATTTTGAAAATTTGATTGGAACTTGCTATTATAATTTAGAAGATTACTCTAAAGCTAAATAAAAATTAAAAATCTCATAAGAAATAGCTGAATAATTCGATTTAAAAAACCTTCAAATTTTGAGCTTAAAAATTTAAAGTGAATTCTATATTAAAAAAAATGATCCTTTTAAAGTCATCTAGATATATTTCGATATTTTACCTCTTTAAGAAAAATAACTTGGAAAATATCATACTGAGATTGCTGATTTAAAATAGAACATTGCAGATAACTACTTTTAGTTAACTTTATATGATAAGGCAATAATATAAGCAGATCAATCATATTAAATCTATCTACTAAACAAAAATAAGGTAAAATAGTAATAATAAGAATATTTTATCATTAAATGCCTCAGTTAAATGTAAGATAAACATTTATAATTTAAAAAAAATTTTGATTCTAAAAATTAGTAATTATAGTAAGACTTTGTTGATTAATTTTTTTTAAAGTATAAAATCGATAGAAATAATTATAATTTTTTATTTAAGAAAAATCAAGACTAAATCATATTTTAATATTGATGATTTTTTACACAATATTAGAATTTTTTCTGAAATTTTATTAAATTTCTTATTTGTTTAAGATTTTGCTTCACTCAAATTAACAAAATAATATATAAATTTTTTATACTTTAAACTTATTTTACTATTGATCAAAAATATTATTAACAAATATTGTAGATATAATTTTTATGTGTGAAAATAATTCATATTTAATTCTATATTTTTTTAATTTTTGAATCATATTGAAATTATTTTTTTTCTTTTTAAAATATGAAATATAAAAAATTAATTTTATATCTTTATTAACAATAATAAATAATTAATTTTCATTATTATGATTTATTAATCATTTATAGGAGGGTCAAGTTGAATGACAATATATTTATTTCTTATTAATTAAGGCCATTTAATAAAAACTTCTATTTTTGATCTTAAAAAATTTAATGAAATGCTACACTGATAAAGAAAATTTTTTCTTAGTATTCAAAAATGATTTTAGGTAATAACTTACTGATGTTAGTTAGTTATTTATATTAGCTATTTATTTAGTTTGCTCTTGATTAATTCTGATTTAGAAAAATTTATCTACCAAACAAAAAAAGGGTCTGTCTGTAAATTATACCTAAATCAATTGAAAAAATTAATTCAAATAATTATTTACTTTAAATTTATAGAATAGCTGATTTTTAAAAAAATTGTCATATATCTAAATTTACTGGATATGATTAAAAGACCTAATAACCTTCTATAGGTCTATCAATAGTAATTAAAATTTACTAAATATAAATTTGGTAATTACTCTTATAAACTGTATACATAAATATAATTCATTTAATAAAATTTGATATTATATGTTAATTTTATTTTTAGTTATGATGTTACTATTAAATATAGAAAATTATAATTTCCAACAATATATTTTATCTTTAGAAATCAGGAAAAGAGCTTCATTTTTAAATTAGAGAGAAAGGAAAAGTTTATTTATATTAAATTTCCTTTTCTAATTTTACTTTCTAATTAATTTTTTTCATCTAAATCTTGTGGTGATTGTTTTTCTTCCTCACAAGCTATTTATTTATTTTAAATACCATGATAATTTGTTTCTTTTATATTGTTATCTTTATTTAAATCAATTTTTTAAAAATTATTATTTTCGGATATTGATTATTTAGATACTTTGTTCTTATTTAATATCAATTTTAGTGATTATTTTCTAGCATAATAGCCTAATACTTATTCTCCTATATCTTTGCTTTTCGTATTGTAGATTTTATTATTTTCAAATATTTATTTCATTTTACTATTCTTGTCTAAAAGTAGCTTTAAAGATTATCTCCTACTATTTTAGTCTTACAAACATAATTATGATCTTATTTCACTGGTTTAATTTTTATCTTTGTTTTAATAGTTATTTACTTATTCTATTAAATTTTTATCTTTGATTTCTTTGTTTACTTAATTAAAATAATTTTCAAATTATTTTGGAGTGCTTTTATTGATATTAAATAAAATATTTTCTTCATTTTTAAAATCCTTTTTTTGTATTGGATAGAAAAAGTCAAGGTAATTTTATTATTGTTTAAGAGTGTTTATTGATATTTTTTTTTTTTAATGAGATGATATTTTTAAAACTTCTTTAATGGTGTCTAAACGAGATACATAAGATTTTTAATATAAAGCTGAACGAAGTCTATAGATCTAGTAAAACTATAATTAGTTACCTCTAGGGTCAGTAAGTGTATCAGCATTTATTCCATTATTTTCAATTTCACTTTCTTCCCAAATTGAGTATTCTTCTTCGCTATCCTCATCATCACTATCATCATTAGAATAACTAATACTTTATACATTCAAACAATATGGTTAAATTTTCTCATTATTTTGAATTTTGAAGATAATTTACTATTCATGAAATTATTTTAAATCTTATTAATTAGAATTAAGACCCTCTTCTTATTTTAAGCTATTTTTCTTCATTTATTCTTATCCTTAATTATTTATTCTTTAATTTGTTTCTTTTTAGGCTTAGATATTTTCAAAAGTACCATTTTTAAAAATATTATCGTTAATATTTTAAAATTAAGTGTTGAGTGGGTTTTTTTCAATATTAGTGGTTTAAAGGTATTTTTCGTGATACAATTTTAAATCTGTATTCATATTTGAATCTAATTTTTAGTCAAATAGAAGAAATAAGATTTTTTATGAGTTGAATAATTTTTTTTAATTTGACTTATTATTATTGTTATTATTTATGTGTTTATTACATTTTAGGAATTTTCTTTTACTTATAAAGTTAAAAGACTTACTTGGGTGGCAAGGTTTTATTAATTAAGATTTAAGAAAATATTATAGTGTTATCATTAATGCAAGTTCTTTATTTATATCTAAGTAGATAATATAAATCAGCTTTAGATTATAATTAATTATATTCAATATTATTCAAATTTTTTGAAAGAAATAATATTTTTAAGCCAAATATTACTTTACTCGAAGAGCATTTGAGAATATTATTAATAATTTTTAAGTAAGAAAGTAAGATTCTTAACTTTAAAATGCTAATCAGTAATTAATGATCTAATTTTTAAAATGTTTGATCTTAATTATTTATTCAAAAAACTTAACAGTATCACTATTTGATTTTATTTCCAAGGTAGTTTTTTTACCTATGGAAACTAATCAAAGAGAGCAAATATAAGATGAATTTTCTTAATCTCCATATAGAAAGATATTAGGAAATTTATTTTTTGAACCTAGAGTGAAATGTCTATTTAATTTACAAAAGGCAAAATATAATATATTTTCATAACTTAAAAAATAAAGCTAAATAAGCTTAAAACAGCTTTATTTTTGAGTTTTTCATTCAAAGGAATATGCTTCCATGATCCAAAATCATGCAAACAAAGGATCATATATATTTATTATATAATAATATGTATGAATTAATATTAAATAAATAGTTTTTATTTTTATTTTTTACCATTAATTAAAAATCGTCCTTATCAAAAGTTAACTTTATTCTATTTTACACACAGACACACATTATCAGTATATGTAAAAGAAAATAAAAAAATAAAAAAAAGCCATCTTAATAAATATATTTAAGATTGATCTTTTCTTCAAATTCACTTATTTGTTTTATGTTTCTTGTAAATAAATATGCTTTAAACGCTTCAAGATGCTTTAATTGTGTATGATATAATTTTAAACATATAATATACTATTCCCTTTTATATATTTTAGATAAAATTGATACATTTGCAACTAATATTTTATAGTAAAAATATTTATCCATACCTTAAGAAAAACTATAAATCAGTATATGTTATCCAATAATAAAGTAATATCATCTGAATATTTTACTTACTTTTATACTTCATTTAAGTATACATTCATAAAATAAAAAAGTAGATATTTTTTTTTGTTTGAATGATAAGTACTGATTTATTTATAAATACTTATTAATAACTAACTATACCTAATAAAAATTAAACAAATCAAATACTAAATTATATGGCACATTCATATATAATATCTTTTGAATTGTAATACTTTATTCTATTCAAAAGCTATCTAGAGAAGTGCAAATCATATTATGAATTAATTATGGAATATTTAAATCTATAAACAACCTTTTTCTTATAAAATAAAGCTTTTAACTTTATTAAAAAAAATATTTTTAATGCCAATAGAGTTAAAATGTATTTAAATTTGAATAATCTAATAAATTTATTGGTTTTAGAGGTTTATAGGTATGTATTTTGATCATTTTTTTAAGACTTGTTATGATAATAATAAAACAAACTAACTAAAATTTAGTGTATTTAAATAAAGCTTTTCGCTCTATACACAAATAGCTAACTAAGAATGTAAGAATAGAAAATCTCTTTTTTCTTCAAATTTTGTTTATCCTAAAAATTATTGATTTGTGAAGAATTAATTTTTTTAATAAAGGACACTGGTTATTAGAATTCTTTTAAAGTCATTACTACTTACACTAAAAATTTTGAGGTTGTAATAATACTATAATTAATTAATTATTTATTTGTCTTCCTTGCCTTTTGTGCTCATTTAAATACTTGAAAAACTATATTATGTATCTTAAATAGTTGAATATTTAGCTTGGTTACTTTTTATATTAAAGAGACATAATTTAAATTTAAATATTTCAATGTTTTAAGAGTTAAGAAAATAACAATTCAATAAATGAAGTTATTAAGAGTTGTTTACAACTATATTATTAAATTATTTTATAGATAGATGGCAGTATTGCAAACAATTCATTATATGATGAGCATTGTAAAAAAATTAATGCCTTAGTTAATTTTTTAAGAAGTAAGGCGTTAATTTTTTAGGAAGTGTAAATTCTTTAATTAATTCATAAATTTCTATGTTTACCTTCAATTCAAGTAGTCTTAAAAATATTTATTTTGCTTTTTTACCTGATTGATCAATTTTAAGCTGATGCAATTTTAAAATTAATAAATTATTTGTATATTTTCTTATTGTAATTAAAAATTATTCAATTTACTAACTAACTTACAACAATTTATTTTCTTCCAGGATTTAGAAATAAATTAATTTAGGTAATAAATAGCTCATTTTTGATTTTTACTCTTAAAAAATATTTTTTTTAAAGAAGTTTATCTAAAAATATATTATATTTTTACAAATATTATATATAAAATTTTATTCATTTAATAATCTTAAATTTTAGATCAATTTTAATAAATCGATTTTATGAATCTTCCCTTAAAATGAATGGTACATAGGTACAATAATTTTGGTAATTTATTCATGATATGTTTTATTTAACATTCTTCAGTAAGAAAATCATTTTATAAATTAGTTAACTATTTATATTAATATTAAGCATTTCAAAAATATTTAAAAGTAATTCATAATATACTAATTCGATTGTATATACATGTTTTAATAGAATTTACTTAGTTACTTTTTAAGATTAACAATTTATAAATTATCAAAATAATTAGTTTCAAGGAATTTATTTGACAAAAACACATTCAGTTAACTTTGTTCTTCTTAATACGTTATTTTTATCAATATTTAAAGTAAATATTCTACATTTTTTTAATTCCTAAATTTTGAGTAAATTACCTATCAGAACTACAATTTTATGTAAAAAATAAATTTAAAAGTGTTTAATTTAAAGAAATTTATTTTAAAAACAAAAAATTTATTTTATTCATCGTTATATTTCCTATTTTTTAGCCATTATTAATTCATATGCAAATGAAAAAATTTAATTCTTTTCTCAGATTTAAATTATTTTTTCCAAATAGGCTGGCTATTATTTGATTTAAATATAATATCTAGATCAATCAAAATCCATATTAATTGTTTTATATTCAAGTAACTTAATAATATTTATCATTTACTTACTGACTAGTAACAATCTATTAGCAATTTATTTTTTTTTTAATTTAGATTCATGCACATTTTTATCATAATTTTATTTACTTTTTTCATGTTACAAATAATGAAAATATTAGTTTTTAAAACTTATTATTTATTGTTAATTTCCAATAGGCTTAGTTTTTAAACATTTTATGAATGATAAATCTTGAATGCACTTGTTAAAAAATTTGTGTCCTAATAAGTAAAAATAATATTAATTACTTTTTTAATGTATTAATAGCTTAAATTATGATATTGTGCAAAATAGAATTTAATTGCGCATTCAACCATTTCATAGTTATTTGGTGAATTCAATTATGAGTTATAATTTACACTTTTTTTCATTGAAAGATGTCTTATAGATTTATTGATAGAATTATTGTAATTTAAAATAACGCTGGAAAGCTGAGTCATTAATGCTCTAAAATGTAAGGAGCTAATTAAATTACTAAGGAAAATAATCTAAAAATATATTATCAAATAGCAAAAACAAGCTTTAAAAATGATGAATAAAATACAAAATAATATATCAACTATTAATCTTCCTGAAAATTCTCAGCTGCAAAAGTTTGATTTTAGAACCTTTATAAACTTAATATCGAACAAATCAATAGAAATCTTAATTCCAGCCTATCTCCCAAACATCAATAATCAAGCAGAAACAGATTTAAATAATATTTAAATAGCTTCAAAACTCAGATTCCTTCAAATACAAACCAATTTGTAGTGTTTAGTCCCTAGACTTATCAATTACCTAAGACTTAAAACACCAATCTAAATTATTAATAAGAACATAATCCATTTTAACTAAAAAACAACATTTTAAAAATAGAAAATTCTACTTAGCAATAATCTTCTTTTGAGTACAATCAGTAATTAAGAATAAATAAATAGCTAATTTATTAAAGTCAAAAAATAATACACTTGATGGACTAAGTTAAAAATTGACTCAGAAGAAGTTTCTATATGGGAAGATTATCAACTAAAGACTAGTGGAGTAGATACTGATTAATTTGTTGATTATAGAGGAGAATAGTTAGATTTTTACTAAATTTACAGATTGCGCTCTGCTTTATACTAATAGACTTATGGATCTCGTTTAGATACTATCTAAGAAGTATAAATCCTCTCATAGCATTTTAATAAAGAAATATCTATGGATTAATTAAAGTAATAATAAAGTTATCTTGATAAATACTATGATATTTAGAAAAAAGACTAAACCAGAAAATTTAATTAGAATAAATTACCACTTCACAAAAATCTAAAAGATTTTTCTCAAAAATGCTAACTGAAAGAATTTAGAGATCTAAATCTTTATACTAAAAAAATGAAATTACTTCTACAACATTAAAATAATAAACAATTAAATAAAAAATTTCAAAAAAATGAATAAAATTCAAAAAGAATAATTTGAGAATTATTATGAAAAAATAGAAAATGACTTACAAACCAAAAGAACATAAAAATTAAGTAAATTAAAAAGGAAAAGAAGAAAGTAAATAATCTTAATTATTTCAAAAGTAGTAAAAAAACTAATATAAATCTAAAAGAAGATAAAAAATTTGTATAGATTAGGAAGAAGCTAAGAAATTTATTTTAAAAAAACTAATTCCAATCAAATAAATTAGCTTATTAGAAGGATAATCATGAATCCCCAAAAAATAACTATAGCTGTAATACCTCTCAAAAATCTAATTAATCATCAAATATATCAAAAGGATATACATACAATACTAATGTTTCGAAAATATATCAAAGCGAAATAAATTCGAAACTTGGAAGTGAATTAATAAAATAAAATGCTTCATAACCTGCAAAATCAGTACTTTCGTATCTCAAAAAGATAGTTTCTAGCTAAATAAATTTTAGAAATAATAATAATAAAATACTAAACTTGATGATCTAATAAACAAATCTATGGATTAGAGCTCAAGTAAATAAAAATTATTTTTTAAGTAAAAATATTGAATTTAACAAAAAAAATTTGACAAAATCATATATTTGTTTAAAGAAAGAAAGATTGATGTTTCTAGTTTTAACTTTAAATAATTTTTTCAACTTACCTTAATTAATTAGAATTAAAGATAAGGTATAAATTAATTTTTATATTATAAGTGTTTTTAACAGAAAATATTTGAATATACCTAAAATGTTTATTGATTTATCTCAAAATAAATAAAACCTTTTAATGAGCTAGGGAATGAATATTTTTATTTACAAGTTTTTATTTACTGAGTGAAATCTTATGAACCAATATTTTTACTTTAAAGAATAAATAAATGAAAATATATTTTAAGTAAGTATTTAAGATTAAGAATGTCAGATTTAATTTATATTGGTTTTTTTATTAAAAAATGAAGTTTAATTTGTATTTTTCATTTTATAAAGTATTTATTTTTTCATCAAAAAACTAAATTAGAAAAGAGAAAGCAAGCAATCCATAATTAATTACTCGAATAATTTGTTTAATACAATAGAAACAGCTCTGTTAAGTTGTCTCTATAAAATAATTTTTAAAAACTAATATTTATATGGATAAAAACTAAGCTGCTAATAAAATATTAATTAATTTTAATTACTTGAGTGCAAGTTAGTAATAAATTTAAAAATAATTTACTTATTAACTTACTAACTGCGCATATTAAAGTGAACTTTTCTATTAAAAACAATTTAAAATGAATATAATTAATTGCAACATTTATTAAATTTGGCTATCTAGATATAAATAAAATATTAACTATATATCTTTATTAAAATAAATAAAACAATTTTATTCTAAAAACTCAATTATATCTCTCTATTTATCAGTATGAAATTTAACTAAAAAAATTCATTTTTTGAGGAGTGATTTTTAATGAGAAATACAGTAAGTTAGCAGCTTTCCTTTGCAATTCAAGTAAAGATTTTATAAAAAAAATGTAAATTAGATTTTGTCAGATTAATTTTTTAAAGGTTTGTAAGCAGGATAATCAGAAAATCAATGAGTTATTTTGTTTAATTTTTTTTTATTTTGTAAATAATCATAAAATTGAAATGAGATTGTTAGTTATGATTTTTATAGAGAAGAAAGATTACTTACTGTTAATCTAATTTCTAACTAGTCTATTATTATTAAGTTAAAAAAATTTTTATGGAAAGTTCTAAATAGTTTAATGACTTTTTCGTTGTTACAGGAAAACTGATTGAGAGAAAATAGAGTATTGAAAGATAATAAAAGCTTAAAAAATTACCTAACAATTTCTAAATATATTTATGTATTCATAAATACAGAAATAAATTTTATTGTTTTTATTTTTATAAAATATAAAATAAATAAATTGTTAATAATTCATTCAATAGCTTTATAATATTCATTTATTTATTTATTAACTTTCTATTTTTTCTTTGCCTTTTTTTAATTTTAGTTTTAATAAATTGTTTAGAATCAATCAATAACTACCATATAATTTTTGTATTCAAAAAATTAATTGAATTTAATAATAATTATGAATTCAAGAATTAATAATTAAATATTTAGATATTTGCTAAAAAAATAAATGTACATATTACATATAATTATTGTTATGTAATGTAAGTATCAAAATTTTAAGATTGATTGGTTTTTAATACTATAAAAATAAAATAGTTAAAATGCTCTTTTTCTCATAGTTTTTAGAGATTAAAGCTAGCAATCCAAATAAATTCTAAATTTGCGTGAATTTTTTGGGAGTTAAGAAACAAATTAGGTCATTAATTACTGAATTGCATAGTAAAGTTAATAAATAAAAATTAGTATTATCTAATGGATGAAATAAATAAATCCTACTCATAAATTTGTTGATAAATATCTAAAATTATTCTTTAAGTTACTACAAGTAATTGCGATTTAGGCTCTTAGTTTCCATAAAAAAATTAAAAATATTTAGCATTTAAAACTGCTTTATTTTTTATTATTGAAAAAAATTAAGAGCTTAATTAAAATATAATACGATCCTATTATCTTAAATTTTTTTTCCAAATCACCTAACACAGACAATCTTTTAATTTTTTTTAAGAGAAAGAAAATTCTCATCTTTTTATAAAAACATATGTAATAACTAACAAAAAAAAAAATGCAAATTACAAACTCCTTTAAAATATTATTACTCCTATTTGAATAAAAGCTAAATTTATATTCGAATTAACATGTAAAACTAAATTATGGAAGAAAAATAAATTTAAAATAAGGAGATGATCCCAATTCAAATTTAAAAAATTTACAAGAGTAATGTTCTTTTCTAAATTCTAAGTAATAACAGAAATTAATTAATTAAACAATATAAAATTGTAAAATGATAACTATTCAAATTATGATAATGAAGATGAGGTAAACAAACATGATAACTCAATGCGGCAAGAAATTGATTATAGATAATATGTAATATTCATAAAATCTATTGACCTTAAAGGAAACTAATTATAGATATTAACTTTAATTCATACTTATACTAAATATTTCTTATATCACTTTGACATTTTTTAAAAAGTTTTATGTTTATCAACAGAAAAAATATCAATAAACAATCTTAAACAATAATAATAATAATTATATTAGTTAATGATGGTATACAAAAGATTTAGGGTGGGGTCACTCAGTTATCGAGTAATATATATAATTTTGAATGAAATATTTTACATTTTTTTCAAAATACCCCCCTGGTTTCAAACTTACGACGTTTGCGCCAGGTCCCCCATATTATTATATATGAGTTATGAAAAATTTTCAATTTTTTTTAGTTCTTACTATTAATTTATTTTTTATAGGTTAATTTTGTTAATCACTGAATTATATGGTATATGATACTTAAAGCTTTCTTTCATAGGTTATTAGAATTAAATTTAGGGACTATTTGGTATTACTTATTATTTATTTTGTTATTTTATGCGATTTTTAATAATATTATTTTATGGGCGAATTTATTAATAGTCTAATTCTTCAAAAAATATAAAGTCATTTATTTCATTAAAACTATCAAGAATATAATTTTCTTCTCCATTTTCAATTTAATTGGTTTCTTCTACTTCTTCATCTTCACATAGGCTATATAGGCTTGGAAACTCGCTAAAAGATTTATAACCATCTTAGTCAAAAGAAAAACTTTAATTTTCGAAATCTTTTAGTTACTATTAGTTCCAGTTTTCTGTTTGCTCATAAGTAGCTTGGACTGGATATAGTTAATATGTTTGATAAAAGTCTAACTCTTAATTAGCAAGAATATTTATGGTGGATTATTATGTATTATCAGTCCTAGAAAAGATAATTTGGATACTATAGCAAGTCATATTAATGATTTCCTTTAAAATTAAAGCAAAATTTTTAATTTATTTTCTTATGCGAGCAATTAATTAATTGTTCAAGTTATTGTTAGTTATCTTTTGTAAAGATGTTTTTTAATTATTTTTGTTTTTATTATTTTTTATTAATTTATGTATTATTAATTTCACTAATTTAAAATAAATTAGTCAACTACTCATGAAACGGATATCTTATTAAATTCTGATATATAATTGTAAGTTTTTAATTAGCTAATTCTTCAACATCTAAATGTCACCTTATTTTTTCAATATCAAAATTAATAAATTCAATACAGTGAAGTAGTGACATAGACAGTAAATCATATTATAATTTATCAGATTTTATTCTTTAATATAAAACTTTTATAATCTGATTTAACTTTGAGTATAATACTGAGTGAATCTATCAATCTATGTCTATCTAAAAATTTGTAATAGTCTTCATTTTTTCTAAAATTGGTTAAGTAAATAATTAATATTGATTGCATGATTATTTATTAAAGCAAAAATAAATTCGTGTGTGTGTGTGTGTATGTCATGATCAATTCCTTATCTTTAAATTAAAATATATTATTAGCTTTATTATTTGTTAAAATTACGTTTTTTCATAACATTTAAACAGTCCCAAAAGTCATTTAATCTATCAGAATTGATAGTGCATAAATGATAGATGAATTTCTAACAAGTCGCTGATTAAAAAAATTTCTACCCTTAATTAATTTATTTTTACACCAATTATTGTAACAAATATAGATTGTTAATAAAAATATTAACATTTAAAATTCTAGATATTTGAAAATTATTATAGCTTTATAAGATTATATAAAAAAGTTTTAAATCAGCTTTCTATTAATTAATAATCCCTTCCTTCTGCCCCATCCTGATAAAATATAGGTTTAAAAAAGTGGAAGAGTGGGATATTACATAAGTGTATGAGGAATTAAAAAGTTATTTAAATATATATATACTGTAAAACCTCGATTATCATCTACTCTATTAGCATCCTTAATAAAGATTGTATTTGAGGCCTATAAAAATTCAAAATTATCATTTTTTTAAAATTTTATTAGTATTATTGTTATTAAATAAAGTATGGGAGATTTCCAAATTGCTATGTAAAATATTTATGAGATTTTCGACAAATAGTTAATATAATATATTTTAAGAAATGCAATAACAATTGATCAATTATAATTTATTAAAACAAAAAATATGAGAAATATGTAAATTATATTTATAAATTATAATTAAAAACAAACATTTTATTTCCTAATATATATTTAAATTATGAATATTTTAGTTAATTTCTTGGTTTTTGCTAATTATTCAGATTATTTAATTACTTTTATTGTATTTTGCATAGAAATATGTTTAATTGCTTCTTTTTTAAATTAAAGACAAATATAAATTTGTTTAAAAAAATACACAAAAAAAATTAATTTTTTCCACTAAAATTTTTATTGATTGCTTTGCTTTATCAAAAAAATTTTATTTGTATTAAATTACATATTAAAAATTCGATTCTTTAAATTCCTAGCTTTGTTTTAGTTCCCTTTAAAAAGCAGCTTGAGTTGCTAATTTAGAATTTTGCATACACTGATTAACTTTTTTAATTAATTTACAGGAATTTATCAGGTTTTAAATTGATAAAAGAAAGAGCTAGTAAATTATAATTTTTTTCGATTGAAATAACTCAATTAAGAATCTATAAATTAAAATAACTGATTTTTAATAGGCTTATTGTTTTTTCAATCACTTTTGTAGCTTAAATTATTACAATCCAAAAAAATAAACTGTTTTTATCAAGTAAAAGTGTTAGAAGGAAAAAATGAATTAAAATACCAAACAAATATAATCTTTTATTTTTGAATAAATACCATAGAAAACTTCATAAAAAAGCAGGCCTTTCATTTAAAAAAAAAACAATTTTATCTAATATAAATTGATAAGTTGTTATATTTTTTTTATTTTTTTGTAAATTTCAATTTTACTAATTAACATCTTATTCTCATTTACATAAATTCTAATCCAAAGATTTTTTTTATAGATTGCTTAATTTAGTATTTTTAAAATATTTGTAGCTACAATTGGCCTAGCATGAGATAGTCTTTTACAAATTCGAAAGTATTGATTTTCCAATTTCTGTAAATTATTAATTACTTAATTAATTATTTTTAAGTTTTTAAAATTAGTTATTTGTCATCACTACTTACTTTTATGTGTTTCAATATATTTATTCCCTTACTATTAATCTTATTTATATTCAGGAGAAGTATTTTTAAGGTTTTGCTTTTATTTGTGTATTCATAATTATGATCATCATAATTATTATTATCATTCGTTAAATCTATTTATCTGACTGGGACTATTTTTATTTGCATCAGCTTGGTAATTTATTTTTAATCAATTCTAATTTGATGTCTTCTTTAAGAATTATATTATTGTGATAAATAAAATTCGCATTATAAATATTTTAAATTTTCTTTTTAATTTATTTATTATTAAATATGATTATCTATCTTATAAATCTTTTTTGAATTTTCTCATATTAATTATGAAGTAATTCTTTTTGAGGTTTATTACTTAAATTTTGAGATTATTACTTGATAATTTGTTAATTTAACTTGGTAGAACTAAATTAATTTTTTTCATATGAAGATTTAGATCTCTAAATCCTATCTATTTAACATTTTTAGATAAATTTCTATGAATTTTTGTCAGAAAATAGTTTATTTTACTTTTATTGAATAGATTAATTTTTTTTCTAGGTATCATAGTATTTATCAAGAAAGCAATGTTGATACTATAAATATTCTCTTGGTATTTCTTTATTAAAATGTAATGAAAGAATTTATACTTCTTAATTAGTATTTATGCGGAACAGATAAGCTTATTAGTATAAAGCAAAGTGCAAACTATAAATTTAGTAAAAATCTAATTATTATCCTCTGCTATCAATAAATTAGTTAGAATTTACTCCATTAGTATTAAGTTGATTTTCTTCCCATATTGAAATTTCATCTTCTTATTATATATACATCACTTTTTAAATCATCATCATCTTAAGTTTTATTTTTTTTATTAATTAAATAAATAATAATCTCTTCTATATTAAGAGTTCTTATCAAAAGTTGATTTTACCAAAAAGATTTTTCTATTTTTGATAAATTAAATTTCTACTAAAGTTAATTCTTTTCTAATTAATAACTAAATTTTGTTATTTTTGGTCTTAGGCGACTGACTCATCATTATAAGAGTCAAAATATTCTTTTTTTTCTAGTGGGCTTTGAATTTATCCTAAATTTTATTACGATTGTTTTATTTTAGGTTATATATGCTTAAGGAGAAAGAGTAGAATTAAATTTTTATAAATATGTTTAATATTAGATTTGCAGAGAGTCAAAAGTTCAAGTCTTGGTTTTTAGTGTTTTCGGAATAACTAAAAAAATAAGCATCTATTCATATCAAACGCATTTCTGATTATTTTATTACTTGTTTTTTATAATACTTATATATTTTATTATTTAGTAATTTAATTATCATAAAAAAAGCATTTATTACCATTAATTACCCTTATAAATATAATTTAAGCAGTTAAAAATATCAATTCGTATAAAAAAAATATTTTCTTAAAAAAGTAGCATTTGTAGATTATAAATTTAAATTTTCAAAGCAATAAACAAAATAAAAATAAATTTAATCATTTTATACAAATATTTTTTATATTAAATTAGTATATTTTAGATAAATATCATTTAAATATTCATTTAGATGCAGTATTTAAAGAAAGTTGTAAGAAGAATTAATCGGCTTTATTTTTTTTAAGTGTAAATTTTAATTAATTAATAACCATATAATTTTTGAGCTAAAAATAGATAAAAACTAACGAAATTATTATTAATATAATCATTGAACTTTAAATAAACATCTAACTAAATAGAAGACTACTTATATTGGCTGAGCAATTTTCGTATATTAATTGGATTTAAAGTTAATATATAGCTCATATTAAAATAGTAATGGCTATAAATCGGAACTTGATCTTAGTATAAATTTGGTTTTAAATAATAATACTTCGAACAAAATATTTAAACATCAGTTTTTAGCACAAATAAGCACTTTTTGAAAACTTTTATTCAAAAATAAACTGTTTTTTTTGATGTTTAAAATCTACATAAAACAATTACTTGAAAAATCAATTGACTAGAGGATTAGCTGGATAAAACTATATAAATTAAATTAATTTAATGAGTTCTTAATATGTTTCAGCATATTAATCAACCTTCTTATTATTTAAATTAAAATTTGGCAAATTCTTCGTTTAAAGGTAATTAGGGCTTATTCAAACCACAAGTAATTTGTTTGTTTATAATACATATTTCAATATAATATTTAGAGCAAAATACATACTAATATTAGCAAGTACCTAGTATTTAGTTTCCTTAATGAATTAAAGAAAACATATAAAAAAGCTAATTAATTAACTGTTTATTTTCATTTATTACATCTATAGTTATAAAAATAGTATTTAAAAATATTTATTATTTTAAGTTTTACTGAATAAAATATTTATAATCTTTAATTTTTTTAAATAATTAATAAATTTTAAAGTTAATTTAAATAAAGAAAATATTTTTTAAATCATAAAATCAAAAAAAATATTTGTCGTTATTGGATTTTATAAAGTAGAAGAAAATAGATTGTTAGTGAGTTTTTCAATTAATTTCTAAAATAACTTTTAAAATAAAAATTTATGAAGTAATCAATTGATAAATAATAATAATTGTTTATTAATCAATTAAAATTTGGCAAAGCTCCCTAAAATAATTAAAAAGAATGCCTGATGAAATTTTTGATTTCCTATGCAATTAACTAATTTTAAACAAATATATATTTGTTTTATAAATTTTAAAAAATAAAGAAATATGTTTTACTAAATACTTTGATTCCTCCAGCAGCTATGCCTAAAGGAGGTAATTAATTAGTGTGGGTAAATATTTCTAATTTAAGACAAAACACTTATTTTGGCATTTTAGAGTCTCTTAAATTAGAAGAATTAAGGTAATTACTTATAATTTTTCAAAAATGAAAAGGTTCTTTCTTCAACTTTATTATTTTTTAGATAAAGAATAGGTAAAAATTATTCATTTTATAAAAAAAATTGTTGGTATACTTCTGAAGAATAATGTGTAAATAAAAATTTTTGATTTAAGAGAAAGAAAAGGTTTTTTTTATGTTCTGCTTTTCAAAGAGTGATTAAAAAACATTCATTGGTTTTTCAATAAAAGAAAGAGTCAGTAAGCAGAAATTGATTGTAATTAAAACAATTCAAGTAATTAAATTAAAATTTTTGCACATACAACTTTCTCTTTCATCAGTTTTGCAATAAAAATGATAACACTTCAATAAAAACTCTTAAAACATTTCTAAGTAACCTTTAACTTGAATGATAAATAAATCAAAATTATTTCAAATTATTAAATTTATACTTTTTCTAAAAAGTTATTTATTTCTAAAAGCAAAAGCTATGACTAATTCATCATAGATTACAATTTTAACAACTATTATCATTCAAATTTACAATAAACACTAATCTCTAATTTTAAGATAGCTTTGAATTAATTAACGCCTAAAGGTGTTAGCAATCAATTTTTTGAAAAGAGAGCTAGAAAAGATTAAGAATGCATTTTATCTAAAAATAGATAAATAATATATCATCTCAACTTAACGGACGACCTAAAACTTGCATTTATTAATTAATAATCTTTATAACCATTTCCATTTTTCTTCAAATTTTTTTTTGATTAATAAATATTACAGCTAAAATTATATTCATTTAATAAAAAAAAGTTATTTACATAAATACTTATCCATATTTTTTGTGTATCCTATGTAATTTTTAATACTATGAATTATAAATTTTGTTTATGTAAATATAAAAACAGTATATCTATCATGAATTTGTTGTTTTTTATACATGACCTAAAAAATAAAGTTACTGAACCGAAAATATTATTTCTTTGAATTATTCTTGTGATTAATTATTGGTAAAATAATAATGAAATTCCTTTAATTATTTAACCAGCTGTTGATTGATATTGTAATTTAAAAATTTTTTGGAAGAAATTTATTATAATTAATTTAATTAAAGATAAAGAAAAACAATTAAATAAGCTATAAAAGTAAAAATGATTAACAGAAGCTTGTGCAAAAACGAATCTGTTTCCCCGATAAGTTCTTCTAAGTATACTTCTTATTAGAAAAAATTCGATTTTTAGAACATCTAAAAGTTTAAAGTTGAAAATAAAAATCTTAACTCTAGTATTTCTCCAAGATAAGAATAATCTAAAACAAATCAATTTTTAAATAATTCAAGCACCAGTAAAATTCAAAGTCCTTAAAATAAATTCAACTCCAGTAATCAGTTTTAATCTTATCAATCCCCAAAAGCATAAGATACTAGATTAAATGATTAAAAAGAAAGCTAATTAATTAAATAGAAATCTAATTAATATAAATAGAATTCTTTTTAATTATCATTTCCTCATAATAATAAGAACAATAATGAATAATAAATTTTGAGAGACAAATATCAAGTTAATAAAAATAAGACCCATGAAGTGAATATTTTAGAAAGTGATTCTGACTTAGAAGAGGAAGTCTCAATCTGGTAAGAAAATTAACTTTAGACTAACGGTGTAGACACTGATTAATTTGTTGATTGTAGAGGAGAAAAATTAGATTTTTATTAAATATACAGACTACGCTCTGCGCTATACTAGCCAACCTATGTTTCCCGCATAGATACTATCACCGAAGTGTAAAATCTTTGTTAACATTTTAATAAAGATATAACAATTTAGTAATTATAGTAATAATAAATTTATCTTGATTAATATTATGAAATTCAGAAAAAGAAAAACAGCATTAAAAATTAAAAAATGCAATAATTACAGAATAACCAAAATATCAAGGATTTTACATAAAAATGTTAAACTGAAAGAATTTATAGACCAATGTCTTCATAATAATAAAATTACATTACTTCTACAAAATTAAAATAATAAATTAACTATATTGAAAAAAATTAAATTTAAAAAGATAAAAGTGAAGTTCTTTAGAATTAATCTGAAAGAATTAAAAAATAATAAAAAAAAGATATTTAAAAATCAATTGACAAAAAAGTAAAAGGACTCAATTAATCATAGAAATAATTATAGCAATAATAAAAATCTAAAAGAAGACAGAAAATCAGTATTGACTAAGAATAAGCATAAATGATGATGCAAAATAAGATGATTCCGATCAAATAAATTAGCTTATTGGATGATAATGATGATGAGCATGATGACGAGACTGCTAAAACTGATTATAGTTTCTATAATACCTCATCAAAATCTAATAGTCGATTAAGTTAATCAAAAGATAATTCTATTAAATGCTAGTAAAGCAATTACAATCAAAAAACTATAAAAATATCAAATTAAGATAGGTAATAAGATTTTAAAGAAACTGCAAAATCAGTACTTTCCTATCTTTAAAAAATAGTTTCTATCCCAGTTAATTATGGTCACTAATATTTTTAAAGCAATAAACTCCATAACTTAACAGAAAAATTTATGAGATAGTAACCAAACAAAAGAGATTTAGATAATAAATAGCCAAATTGAATTTTAAGATAAAATATTTATAAAATTAAATTATTTATATGCTATCAATTCTTATTACTTGTCTCCATATTTTTCTTCTAACATATTTACTTTGCTCAAATAAAAAGTAATAAAAATTATCTAATTCAAACTTCCGAAAAATTTTTATTACCTTTTTCGTGATTTGAAGCATTATGATCCAATCATTCAGATACTTTTTCTTATTTAATATTATAAAAAAATATGATTAAATTAGTTCAAGTTTTTCTTTTTTTTGATATTATTTTAAGAATATAAGTTAGTTATCAGACTCACATATAATTTTTCATAAAATATCTATGTCAGTATGAATTAACATAATGTTATTCATATTTTTGATAGTGCCACACCATACATTTTTTTTAATTAGCTAATTTCAAATTATATTATATTTAATAGATAAAATTTTTAAAGCTCTACCGATTAATTGATATATTTATCACAATAAAATTACATCAACTATGTATATAAAATATAATATCAAATACAAAAATAAGATAGATTAAAATTTTTTTCACAATTATTATATCAAATGTTTACTTCAGTATATTAATAATTAAATGCCTTTTTTATTTAGGATAGGCTGTATATATACTAATGAATGTTTAATTAAAAGAAATTTAGTATTTTTGTTATTAAATAAAGTATGGGAGGTTTCCTATTTGCTATGACAATATATTTATGAGATTTTAGCAAAAAAATATAATTTATGAAATCCAATAACAATTATAATTTATAAAAACATAAGTGTTGTGAACATATTAATTAATTATAACTAAAGTCACTTACTTAATTTACTATTCAGTTTAATAAGTTGAATATTTTTATACAATTAATATTTTAGTTAGTATCTAAGTTTTTGCTCATTACTAAAATTATATATTATAATATTTTTTGCATAGAAATTAGTTTAATAGTTTGTTTTATAATTATAGATAAATAAAAATTTATTTATATTAATCACACACAAAAAAATAATTTTTTTTCTCCTAAATTTTTAATGATTACTTTTACATGATAAAAATTTGAATCTATTAAATTCCTAACTTTGTTTATATTAGCTTTTAAAAGCAGCTTGAGTTACTAATACAGAACTCTGCATAAATTGATTATCTTTATTAATTTGGTTCTTGATTAATTGAAATTTTGAAGAATTTATCAGGCTTTAAATCAAAAACAGAAAGGGTCAGTTAATTATAGTTTATTATGATTGAAATAAATAATTTAAGGAATCACTGAATTTAAAAAAACCAAACTACTGATTTTTAATTTCTTATTGTTTTTTTAAATCACTTTTGTAGATAATGTTATCACAATCCAAAACAAATAAACTGCTTTTATCAAGTAAAAGTGTTAGATTTAATCTTTATTTTGAATAAATACCAAAGAAAACTAATTGTAAAGTAGTTTTCATTTTAAAAAAATACTATTTTATCTAATATAAAATTGATACATAAATATAAATTGTTATATTTTTTTTTAATTTTAATTTCAATTTTACTAATTAAAATCTTATTTTCATTTACATAAATTCTAATTTATTGATTTTTTTGTTAGATTATTTAATTTAGTATTTGAAAAATTTTTTTAGCTGCAATTGGTTTAGCAAGAGATTGTCTTTTACAGACTAGAAAGTATTGATTTTCCGGTTTCTGTAAATTATTAGTTACTTAATTATTTTTCATTTTTCAAAATTAGTTACTTATCATCAGTACTTATATCTATTTCAGTGTTTTTATACTCTTTTTATAATTCTTATTTGTTATAATATTCAGAAAAAGCATTATCAAGGATTTTGTTTTGATTTGTGTATTGACAATTATAACCATCATCATCTTCATCATCATCATAATCATCATCATCATCCGTTAGGTCTATATATCTGACTGGAACTATTTTGGTTTGTATCAACTTCGAAATTTATTCTTAATAAATATTAATTTTATGTCTTCTTTAAGAATTATATTATTATCTATGCTACTCTTGTGATAAATAAGATTCGCATTATAAATTTTTTTCTTTTTCTTTTTAAAGATCATTGTTTTATAAATATTTTTGAATTTTCTCAAATTAATCATGGAGTAATTCTTTTTGAGGTTTATTACTTAAATTTTTTTGTTATTATTTACTTATCTATTGTTTTTACTTGGTAGAATTAAATTCATTTTTTTCATATGAAGTTTTAGATCTCTCAATTCTTTATGTTTAACATTTTTTAATAAATTTCTATTAATTTTGTTTATTTTACTATTGTTAATTAGCGTAATTTTTTTTCTAAATTTCATAGTATTTATCAAGATATGATTGTTGTTATTATAACTACTCTATTGGTATTTCTTTATTAAAATGCTATGATAAAATTTATACATCTTAAATAGTATTTATGGGAGACTCACAAGTTTATTAGTATAAAGCAGAGCGCAATCTGTAAATTTAGTAAAAATCTAACTATCCTCCTCTACTATCAATAAATTAAGTTTTAAGTTTATTTTCTTCCCATATTGAAATTTCTTCTTCTGATTCTACATCACTTTTTAAATTATCATCATCTTAAGTTTTATATTTTTTATTAATTAAATAATGATCCCTTCTTTATTAAGAATTCTTATCAAAAGATGATTTTTGCTAAAATGAGCTTTCTATTTTTGATAAATTAAATTTTTACTAAAATTAATTCTTTTCTAATTAATAACTCGATTTGTTATTTTTGGTCTTTGGTGACTGATTATTTTAAGAATTAAATACAAAAAATTTGTTTGTTTTAGAAGGGCTTTGAATTTATTAGCTATCTTAAGATTGCTTTATTTTAGGCTATATATGCTGAGGAGAAAGAGTAGAATTAAGTTTTGTATTAATATGTTGAATATTAGGCTTACAGAGACTCAAAAGTTCAAGCCTTGACTTTTAAGTGCTTTTAGAAAAACTAATAGGAGAGCGGCATTTATTTTTATCAATTGCATTTCTCATTATTTTTAAGCTTTTTTTTATAGTACTTTAGATTTTATTATTTAATCATTTAATTATTACAAAAAGAGCATTTATTATATACTAATCACCCTTACAAATATAATTTAAGCACCTAAAAATATATTTTCCACCAATAAGTATAAAAAAATATTTTCTTAAAGCAATTAATTGTAGATTATAAATTTAAATTTTCTAAGCTATAAACAAAATAAAAGTAAAATTAATCATTTTAGACATCTATTTTTTGTATTAAATTAGTATATTTTAGATTAATAACTGAGACCATTTTTATGCATTTATTAATAATTTATATATCTATTACTTTTTAGATAGATGAAACATTTAAAGAAACTTATAAGAAAAATGAATCAGCTTTATTTTTTAAAGTGTAAATTATAGTTAATTAATAACCATACAATCAATCGTTCAGCTAAAAATAGATAAAAACTAAAATAAATTATTGTTATTATAATCATTGAACTTTAAATAACTAACTAACTAAATAACAGACTGCTTATTTTGGTTGAGTAATTATCGAACATTAATTGGATTTAAAGTTAGCATAAAGAGCATATTTAAATTGCAAAGGTTATAAATAGGAACCTTAGTATAAATTGAATTTTAAGTAATAATACTTCGAACAAAAGATTTAAACATCAGTTTTTTAAATAAATAAGCACATTTTAAACCCTTTTATTGAAAAATAAACTGTTTTTATACATGTTTAAAATTCACATAAAAAAATTACTTAAAAAAGCGATTCACTAAAAAATTAGTTAGGTACAACAATATTAATTAAATTATTTAAATAAGTTCTTATATAATTTTTCAACATACTGACTGACCTTCCTATTATTTAAATAAAATTTTTACAATTTCTTTTTTCTTATAAATTAAATTACATAAGGCAATTAGGATTTATGTAAGCCAAAATTAATATCCTAAGAATTGTTTGTTTATAATATATATTTATTTCAAAATAATATTTGAACAAAATACGAATATTATAAAATAACTAATAAATTTACTAGTATTTAGCTTCCTTAGTGAATTAAAGTAAACAAAAATATTAAAAAACTAATTACTTAACTTTTTTCATTATTACATCTATATTTATAATAATAGAATGTAAAATATATTTATTATTTTAAGTTTTATTTAATAAAATATATAAAATCTATGGCTTTTGTAAATATTTAATACACTTTAAAGAAAACTTAAGTAAAAAAATATTTTTTAAAATGATAAAATAAAAAAAATGATTCATTATTTATCAATATTGGATTTTATAAAGTCGAAGAAAATTGATTATTTGTGAATTTTTAAATTAATTTCTAAAATAACTCTTAAGAGAAAAATTATGAAGTAATCAATAGATAAATAATTAATAATATTTGTTTAAATCTATCAATTAAAATTGATAAAAGTTATCTGAAATAATTAAAAACAAGAGCTGGTGAAATTTTTGATTATTATATTTAAATAATTTTAAGCAACTATATATATTTCTTAGATTATTTATTGAATAAAGATATATATTTTACTACTTTGATTCCTCCAGCAGCTATGCCTAAAAGAGGTAATCAGTTAGGGTAAATATTTAGCTATTTTTTCTTTAACTTTATTATTTTTATGAAAAATTATTCATTTAATTAAAAGAAGAATGATGGTAGATTTCGAAAAATAATGTGCGAATAAAAATTTCTGATTTTTGAGAAAGAAAATATTTAGTTATGTTTTGTTTTAAATGAGTGATTAAAAAACAAACATTGATTTTTCAATAAAAGAAAGAGTCAGTTAGCAGAAATTGATTTTGATTAAAGCAATTCAAGTAATTAAATTAGAATAGTCACAAACCAACTTTCTCATTTTTGAGTTTACAATAAAAATGAAAGCTCTTCAAAAACTCATAAAATATTTTTAAGTACGCTTTGATTGTATATAAAATAAATCAAAATTGTTCAAAATTATGAAATTTATAATTTTTCTAAAAAGATACTTTTTTCTGAACTCAAAAGCTTGGGCTTATTCGTCTTAGATTACAATTTCAAGAACCATTATTATTTAAATTTACATCTAACACTAATCTCTAATTTTATTGAGTGTTGAATTATTTAAAGCTAAAAGTTGCAATCAATAAATTTTTTGAAAAGAGAACTAGAAAAGATTAAGGATGCATTCTATCTAAAAATAGATAAACAATATATTATCTCAACTTAGCCGATGACCTAAAATTTGCTTTTATCAATAATCATTATAACCATCTCAATTTTTCTTCAAAATTACTTTTTATTAATATAGCAGCTAACATTATTTACTTATTAAATAAAATATAGTTATTTACTTAAATACTTATCGAAATATATTTTGAGTATTCTATGTATTTTATTATGCAAATATAAAATCATTAATTCTTTGATTACAATCATGAGTTTGTTGTTATTTATACCTGACCTAAAAAATAAAGTTACTGAACCAAAAATATTATTCTTATGAATCATTCTAGAGATTAATTATTGGTAAATTTATATTAATAAAATTTTATAACCATTTAAATCAGTTAGCTGTTGATTAAACAATCAGTAATTTAAAAATGTTTATGGAAAAAATTCATTATAATTAATTTAATTAAATAAAAAGATTAACATCAAAAAAAGCTTTTTAAAATTAAATATGATTAACAGAAGCTTGTGCAAAAACGAATCTCTTTCACCAATAAACTCTACTAAGCAAATTTCTTAGTGGAAAAAATTTGATTTTTAGAATGTCTAAAAGTTTAAAGTTGAAAATCTAAATAAAAAACTTAACTCTAGTATTTCTCCGAGGCAAGAATAATCTAAAACAAACTAATTTTATAATAATTCCAACAGGAGTAAAATTCAAAGTCCTTAAAATAAATTAAATTCCAGTAATCAGTTTTAATATTGCCAATCCCCAAAAGCATAATGTCCTAGATTTAATGATTAAAAAGAAAGCTAACTAATTAAATAGAAATTCAATTAATACAAATAAAATTCTTTTTAATTATCTTCTCCTTAAAATAAGAATAATAATAAATAATAAAATTTGAGAGATAAATATCTAATTAATAAAACCCATGAAATGAATATTTTAGAAAGTGATTCTGACACAGAAGAGGAAGTCTCTATCTGGTAAGAAAATTAACTTTAGACTAATGGCGTAGACACTGATTAGTTTGTTGATTGTAGAGGAGAAAAATTAGATTTTTATTAAATATACAGATTACGCTCTGCTCTATACTAACCAACATATGTATCCCGCATAGATACTATATTTGAAGTGTAAAATCTTTGTTAACATTTTAATAAAGAGATAACAATTGAGTAATTAGAGTAATAATAAAGTTATCTTGATTAATATTATGAAATTCAGAAAAAGAAAAAGAAAATGAAAGATTAAAAGATGGAATAATTACAGAATAAACAAAATGTCAAAAATTTTACATAAAAATGTTAAACTGAAAGAATTTACCGACCAATGTCTTCATAAGAATAAAATAAAATTACTTCTACAAAATTAAAATAGTAAATCAATTAAAATCAAAACAATTAAATTTAAAGAGAGTAAAATGAATTTCTTTAGAATTAATCAGAAAGAATTCAAAAATAATAATATAAAGATATTTAAAAATCAATTGACAAAAAAGCAAAAGAACTCAATTAATCATATAAATAATTATAGTAATAATACAAATCTAAAAGAAGACAGAAAATCAGTATTGACTAAGAATAAGCATAAAAGATGATGTAAAATAAGATGATTCCGATCAAATAAATTAGCTTATTGGATGATAATGATGATGACCAAAATGATGAGACTGCTAAAACTGATTATAGTTTCTATAATGCCTCACCTAAATCTAATAATAGATTAAGCCAATCAAAAGATAATAAAAATTCTATTAAATGCTAGTAAAGCAATATCAACCAAAAAACTATAAAAATATCAAATTAAAATGGATAATAAGATTTTAAAGAAACTGCAAAATCAGTACTTTCCTATCTTTAAAAAATAGTTTCTATTCCAGCTAATTATGGTCACTAATATTTTTAAAGCAATAAACTTCATAACTTGACAGAAAAATTTATGAGACAGTAACCAAACAAAGGAGATTAAGATAACAAATTGCGAAATTGACTTTTAAAATAAAATATTTATTAAATTAAGTTATTTATATGTTATCAATTCTTATTAATTGTCTCAATACTTTTCTTCTAAAATGCTTAGTTTGTTCATATCAAAAGTAAAAAAAATTATCTTATTCAAAATTCTTAAAAATTTTTGATTCCATTTTCTTAATACTTAAGTATTATCATTCAATCATTCAGATACTTTTTTCTCATTTAATATTATTATAGAATATGATAAAATTAGTTTAGTTTTTCTTTTTTTGATATTAATTTAATATAAGTTAGTTAGTTATCAAACTCATATATAATTTTTCATAAAATATCTTTATCAGTATGAATCAAAATAATATTATAATATTGCTCATACTTTTGATTCTGCCAAACCCTTACATTTTTTTAATAATTCACTAATTTTAAATTAATTTATATTATAGTTAAAAGGTAAAGTGTGTAAAGCTCTACCTATTGATAGATATATTTATCATAATACAATTATATCAACTATCTTCTTTTTATAAAAAATGTACCGTATGGTCTCTTAGTCAATAGATCTTCTTATATATGATAGTTCTTGAATATAAACACTAAAATTTTTATAAATTTTAAAAAAAGGCCTTAATGTTTTGGTGACTTTTTATATGAACATTTGCACATTATTTATCAAAAAGTAAAATAAATGAAATTAGATTTAATAATACTACAAAAAACATTAATGAAATACTAAAAATAAAAAATGCTTTTTCTTTTCTTTCGACTTATTGAATATTGAATAGAGAGAAATATTTTATTTATTTTACTAAATTATAAGAAAATTTATAAATTAATCTTAAGCAAATTTTTTCATCATACATTTTATAAATTAAGTCATAAATTGGTACAGCTCTGTTAATTATAATTACGAAATTGCTATTCAAGTTAATAATTATTTAATTCTTCTTAAATACTTTAATTTTTTGTTAATGTTTACTTTTTCTAAATAGCTAGTTCATTGATAAAATTATTATAGATAATTTTATCATCTTCTAAGATTAGATTAGAACTAGATCTGTTAGTTTGAATGAGTTTAGATTCTTAAGCAGATTATGGCTCATTTTATATTTCATACTAGCTTTAACTAACTCTAAGGATGGTTCCCCAGTTTTAGCTTTAATTGTTATAAGATTAACTTTTAATGACTTACTCTTACACTCTTTTAGCCTTTCTTAAAATCCTTTTTTGAGGAGAGTCTACCTCAGCCATAAATGATATTAATTATCTGCTATCAGATTTAGAGGGGGATTAATCATCTAATTTAGTTGGAGATTAATCATTTAATACATTTTCTTGTTAAACAGCACTCTAAATATCTTTAAGCATAGATGAAATTCTTTTTATTTCTAAGTTTTAATCTTCTTCCTTTATTTTCTATTCACTATGAGGTACAATTGTAAGCTGTTTCTTTTTCATTCTTTTAAACTTAAGATAAACTTTCCTAACTTCTAAATATATTTCCTTAAAGCATGATAAAACCTCTAATATTATTATTAACGAAAAGGATGAAAGAACTACAAAGCATAAAGCTTAAATGATAGATTCTTAATCCTAATCTATTTAGTACAAAACTAAGACAAAGATATGACTGATCAAGAAAAAAAAGCTATCTAACCCATCCTTCACATTAAAAAAATTCTTCTTATAAGGTTTTATTTTAAAGATACTTAGTAGTTAAATGAAATGAAAGATTATTATTAATATTATCTAAGATAACGGAGATATTTGAATTGCTCCAATGATTACAGTATAGTAGAATTTTCTTACATATAAAGTAATTTGATAGTAATTAAAATTTAAACCTTTAGTAAGATGCTTTATTAGTTTCTAGTTAACATTTTTGTAAATTAAAATTGCAAACAAAAATGGTATTCCTATTCCGATAACACCAATAGAAAACATAACGTAATTTATTATTTCTACGCTATATCTTGCAATGTTTATACTATCTAATTGTAAGATAACTGAAAAACTCATATCTTAGTAAACTATCCAAGCTAAATCTATTAAAAAGCTGAAAGGGAACAGCTTACTTTCAACTTTACTTATAAGATTTTTTATTCCTTTAAATGATTAAAATAAAAGGCAGAGAATTCTTAAGATTATTTTTACAGCAAAAATAATAATAATCAAAGATATTGTATCGCCTTTTAATGAAAAAAAATAAAATAAGTAATAATTAGATAATAATAGCTAAAAAATTAATATTTAAAAAATATTTTTAGAAATTAAATTAATCTTGTTATTTTACCCATATTACTCAAATAAAAGCCTTGGATATTCTTTTCTGATATTTTATGAGGGGTTTCGTATTCAATTTCTTCATAGTGATCAATATACTCAAAGAAGTTAGGAAAGGGTATTTTAAAGTTTTTTTAAGATGATAAAAACGTGTCTAATGTATTTGAAGTTCTTGATTATTTAATTTTTATTTTATTTAATATTTTTAAAATTTATAGCTAATGAATGAATCTTAAATTATAAAACTAAATAGTTTAATAATAAATTTAACTTTTTAGATTGTTTTTTATGAATGTTTTGATGAAATTATTTAAAAAAACTATAAATGAATTACTTAAAATCAATGAAAGAAGTCATGTAAATTATTTAAGATATGTCTAAAATAGAAGAAATCATCCAAAAATTCCCTGATAATATTAAAGGAAATATAGCTGTAATTGTTGCAGTAGAAACAGCTTAAGTAGCTGTTTCTAAACTCTGAGTAATTGATGGATTTTTATCTTTTTCTTGCCCCTAAATCTTCATGTTAATTGATTACTATGTTTCTTAATATTTGCCTATTTGATCATTCATTGATACCATAACTTTTAAAGTGTCATTTATTTATTAATCTGTGCTTATTGTAATTTTAAAGGAATATTCATCTTAAGTTGTTATATTGTAATCAAATTTATTTTGTAAGTCAGGAATATCAACCTTCAAAGATTTCTAAATATCTTGTAGAATGAATTTATTCTTGAATATCACTAAGATTTAATTGTTAGCTCTACTAACCAGTTAAAAAGAAATATTTTCTATGCAGTTTCCATTTTAATCTCTAATTTAATTGTTATTACAACTTGGGATGCACTTGTTATTAAAGATATCAAAATTTACTAAACAAGAGGAGCATTAGTCAATTTAGTTTTTACATTCTTGGCAATTTTAAGATGTACAGGCAACACATAAACTATTTTATTATTAATAGCCAGGACCACAAGATAAAACACATTAATTTCCTTTTAGAAAGTAATTATTTTAGCATAATAAGCAATTGTTATTGCTATCACAGCTTTTACAATAGCTTGTAGAGCATTATTAGCATTTATTTTAAACATTGTCCTAATAATATTAATCTGGACAAGTATTTAAACACTAAGAATTTTAAAGTAAATAGAAATTGGGTAAACATTTATTGCATGATGTTGAAGAGGTACATTAAGAACAGTTTGATAAGCAAGCTTAACATATGTTGTTATTATCAGAATAATACTAATCAGGGCAGCTATTTAAGCATTGTGAACTTTAGTATAAATAAAAATTGGGCAAACACTTGTTACAATTCGTTGAAGAAGAGCATTAAGAACAATTTGAGAGGCATTGCTAGCAAATATTATTATTATCAATATAGTATTAATCTGCACAAGTAGGTAGTATGCACTGAAAATCTTTAGAAAGTACATAATTTGGCTAACACTTGCTACATTAAGTTTAAGAATTGCATTGAAAACAGTTAGCCATGCATTATTAGCAAGTATTATCATTATCCGGATAATATTTATCTGGACAAGCAACTAAGCACTATTAATTTTAGAATAGATTGTAATTTGATATACATTTCGTACATTATGCTGAAGATGTGCATTTAGAACAATTTGGCAGACATTACTAGCAAATATTATTATTATCTGGATAATATTTATCTGGACAAGTAGCTAAGCACTATTAATTTTAGAATAGATTGTAATTTGATATACATTTTGTACACTATGCTGAAGATGTGCATTTAGAACAATTTGGCAGACATTACTAGCAAATATTATTATTATCTGGATAATATTAATCTGGACAAGAGTTTAAGCATTATTTAGTTGGATCTAAGTAAAAATTGCTTTAGCATTTAGAGCATTTACCAGTTTAGTCACAAAGTAAGCAGTTATTTGGGCATTACTAACATATATTGTTAAGATCTTAAAAATATCCATCTGGGCATTAATCTTAGCACGATTTTTTATAAAGTACTTTCCCTTATTAGCATGTTAGACAGGTAGTAGAATCAGAGCAAGTTTTACAGCTTTAGTTACAATTTAGGCAATTATTATTTGTATCCATGTATTAATTATCTTAACAAACACATTAAAAATTTGAATTGACAGTAAGAGTGTTAGGGAAACAAGACATGCATTTGCTAAAGTCATTATCTAAGCATGTTTAACAAGGTGAAATGCATTTTTAAAAATCAAATGTGGCACTAAATGCTAGATTATATAAAGAAATTATTTATTTCAATAGCAAATAAAACAAAATTTATTTACTGTAAATTATATTTTTGTTGTCATAGAGAATCAATTAATTTTAAAACTATATTTTAAATAAAATATTTTTTTTTTTTTTTTTCTTGAAATAAAAGTCACTCAAAAAAAAATTAACAATAATATTATAAAATAAAATCTTTTATAACTTTCGCTATAAGATGAATAAATATAAATAAAGAAAGAATTTAAATTTGAAAAACAAATTTATTTTATTAAATTTTGTTAAGCAAAAAAATTAGTTATTACTTTTAGATAATCAAAACCTAGAAATTTTTAGTTAATATTTCCAAGATATGTGAAAGTAGAGTCATAAACTATTAATTTACATTTTATGAATGGTTAAATTAATAATAAAAATGAATGAATAATTTGATACAAGTAAGAGTCCCTTAATCAATTACTGCAACTGCTTAGCCTAAAGATTTAAAAGTTGCTGTATTGCTAAAATTCATCTATTTTAACTATTCAAGTTTATTATCTTTATACTGAAGTATGTAAATTGTAAGTTTATTGCCATCATTTAAAGAGGCCAAAAAAGTCATTTAATTTAGAGGCTTTTTGATTTAGAAAAGAATTTGATAAAAATATTTGAGATATTAATTAAATATACGGTTAATGGCTAGATAATTGTAATATTTTAAGGAGATAATGCAAATACTGCAACGGGAGAGTATTAATGAGCAATGTTCTTACTTGTCTTATTCCATACTAATTTGAATTAAAAAAGAGATATTATTTTTAAAAATATTTATTTATTTTAAGAATTACATGTTAAGAATTTTGAGCACGCTGAAATCATAATATTGTTATCCTTAGATAGATATATTAATAAAAGATTTTAATAGAAAAGTTAAAAACTATTTATTTTTTAAACCAAATTATTAAAATACTTCATCGTAAAATAGACCAGTAGTTTAATAAGAATTGCAACCAAATGATTAAGGTTGGCTAAGATCACTGACATTGTATACTAATTAAACATAAATAAAAAGATTAGCTTCTATTTGATGATTGTTCTAATAATTTTACTTCTCATGTATTAGCTATTACTTGCGAGTACCTTTAAAAATTTTTTTAAAATAATATAAATAGATCATCAAAAATAAAAAAATATTCTACATGTTGATCAGAAAGCCTTTAGAAATAACTAACATTAGTAAAAGCAATACTATTTTATGATATTATCTGATTTCCTTACAAGATATATACTAAAAATTAATTTAGAGATTGAATATATATCTAATATTTCTTATTTTAAAAATATTAATTCTTTCTTACTTTCTAACTTATTAAGCCCTCCTGCGAATCTTTAATCCTTATTTTTTAAAGCATAGAATTAATTTCTATTTAGTTTCATATTGAATGATTTCTTACGTCTATTCTTACAATTGATTAACAGGGAATATTCGAAGTTGCTATATTCTAAGATGAAGAAGGTGGCTAAATAGACCAAGCTTTTATTTTTAGATTTGACAGATAGATAGGTTGATAAAAGAAGTAAAAGATAAATAAAAGAAACCTTATAATTTGATGAAATCTATACAGACAATGTAAGTATTTTAATTTAGAAAAGCAATAGATCTTATTGAATTATTGTTTAGATTATTTATCTAAACAGTTGGTTGACATAAAATTGTTTAGAAATTTATCGCTATCACTGCAACTAACGCTATTTTAAATATCAATAATTCACTCATTTATTTTTAATGTAGTGTGAATATTTTTGTGTTTGACTTTGTTTGTTTGTTTTCCGAAATCTTATTACTTCTTTTATATTTCAATTAAAAATTTTATAAACTTAATTTAATGGTTTTTTTTGAAGCAACTTGAAACTTATTTAAATTAAGGAATTCCATCTATTTATCCTGAATATGTTTTCAAAATAAGCTTACAGAAATACATATTGTTATCAGTTCTTCAAAATATAAAAAACTATATTTACTTTTTGATTAGGATCATAAAAATCAAAAAATGAACATTTCATTCTAACAAATACCACCTTTTAGCTTTAATTAATCACTTTTATAAATTAATTTTTGTCCATGAATTATTGTGTTATTACTTCTTTGCTTTTAAAAATAAACGCTATTTTAGCCATTTGTTTTTCATAAGATTGAAAACTGAAATGATAAATTAGTTTTATTGTTTAATTTGATATTTAATTTAACCCTGATACAGAATCTTTTTCTTACACTTTTTAAAATTTTAAATATTTTATTTTTTAACAATAATTTCTCCAATATATCAAAATTATATGTAGAAATGTTATTTCGCTGTAGATAAAATTTTATTTATATTCTACTAATTAATTTATTATTACTTTTAAATAAATCGATTTTAATTTCATTAAATAATAAATAAATAGTATTTTAAATTTATTTTATTGTAATATATACCTTAATAGTTACTCAAATTATTTATGATAAAATTCTATCTTGTTATAAGCCAGAAATTATACTTAATATAATTACTAAACATTAATAATATAATAGATCCTAATAAATGAAAACTTAGAGTATGTAAATAAATACTTTATATAAATATTTTAAAATTTGTTATAAAATAAATTAATTGGATAAAAAAAATAATTTTTTGTTTTCCTTCAAAATACATGAAAAGTGGTAAAAGAATTGCTTATTTGAAAGAATTTTTTCAATATTTAATTTTAAAGATTAAACAAATAAGTTTGTAAATATTTATTTATTTTATAAATAGATTAAAATTATTCAAAATAATCTTTTTATAAATAATTTAAATTCTTTTTTGAATATCACTCAAATACAACTACAAAAAATAAATGAGAAATTAGAAAGGTAAGAAATTTTTATGAAAACAATTTTGTTTATTTAAATAAAAAAACTGGAATTATTTCACTCTAATTTAGTTTTTGTTTGCTCTGATCTATTTTTCTTTTTTGATCTTATTATTAAGAAAGTAAATTATTTGTATTTGATAGGTTTTGTGGAACTAATATTATTATATTTAAAATTTATTATTACATTTGTTGTTTGCAAAGCTACTCAGATAATTAAAACACTTAAAACAAAAAAATTTAATGACAAAATGAAACCCTATCAAATAAAGAAACAAAAATATCTAATGAAATATTCAAATTTTTAAAAGTATTCATAAAACTATGATATGTTTGAAAAAAAATCGAGTTATTAACATGTTCTTATATTTAACTAAAATGGTAATCAAACAAATTAATCAACCTATTGACAACGAATTATATTTTTTTAAGTTTTTTATAGATAAAATTTAAGTTAGTAACCAACTTTCTTTTCGAAAAATAATACGTAAAAAATAAATAAATTCAAGACAATATACCCATGAATTTTACTATCTCAATAATCTATGGCTTATTAATTTAATCGAATTAAAAATTGGCAACCGCATAAATCTATGTAAATAATATTAAATTACTGGCGTATTATAAATTATATAAAAAAGTTATCTAGTACAAAGAGGATGAGACTCATTTTAAATTAAAATGATAACAATTATAAATAATTTTATGTTAAAAAGTTAAGTTTATCTAGTATTAAATTGTTAGTATAAATAAGAAATTGTAAAAATAAATTAAGCAAAATTAATAAATTAAATTAATGATTAACTCAATAATATTATATATATATATTATAGAAACTAATTGCGTTATCTCCACAGATTTTTAATTAGTTTGTTTTTCAGGTGTTTTATCAATTTTTCTTAGTTGCTTTGTTAAAGAAGCTAAAAATCACTAGCTGATTATTATTTTTTGCTGATGAATGTTTACTTATTTATGAATAAGTCACACATACCACTCATAAAGACAATAAATAAATATCAATGGTTGGATATTATTTATTTCAAATAAGAAATAACAGAAGAAGCTGCATTTGTAACGCTTTACTATCTTAAATTTTGAATCAAGCTAATATGTTCATTTTTTTTATCAATTTGATTTTGATTAAGTTCAGAAATTTAATATTATTGTTCAGTTTTTCTTTCATTTTAAATTAGATTGGATCTAGGCGAAATTTCAGTACTTAGATCATCTTAAAATAGACTATTATCTTACAGTGTTATTTATTTGATTGGAATTTTTTTATTTTCGATTAGTTTTCCAGTTTATTATTAGATTATTCTTACCTTTTTTCTACTTTAATTTGATTTATTTTAAAGAATTAATTTCTTTATTTATTGATCTTTTTTGCTAACATCATCTTATTATTTGTTATCATTTTGCTTAAAAGTTT